ATTGTAAATAAATTGTATTTATAAAATGTATGCTGTTTATTATGTTGGCTTAGACAATTTTTAGTAGAAATTATTTAAGCATCAATTTTACTACACTAAAGTTGTTCTTTTATGTTCTTCTTTTTAGCAGAAATATTTGCTATGTATGATAGAAGTTTGAATTTTTTTTTTATTTAATATAATTATACATATAATATAATTTATAATAATTTAATCGGTTATGCACTAAAATTACTTTTAATTTAAAATTTAAAAATACAATTTTTTTATTTCAAAACTGTAAACTTAATAAATGTATTACACTGTTATACAAGAATTGCATGAAATATTACTAAACATATTTATGTTTTTCAATTAGCTTTACACAGTAATCGGTTTAATATGGACCACTTAATTACTCCTTATGTTATAATAATCTTGATAATAATTTTTTTTGGTTTTAATTATTAATTTATAAGTGGTTAAATATTTTATAAGTCTGTCCTTTATCCCTTAAAGACACCAACTTAATTTTTTTAAATGCATCATACGTATTTAATTTGCTTATAAAATAGAAAATGTCTAATTTAAAAAATAACTAGTCCATAATAGCTATTCGACTTCTTCGGAAATTAGCAAGTTTTTATAGCTGACGGATAACAGAGTGTGGTCGTGAAATAATGTTAAGAGATAAAAATAGTTACACCAGATTACTTATACACTAAGTTGAAACTATATAACAAATTGGCGACAAATTTATTGATTATTTTTAATTCGATGGACAATATTTGAGAAAATAGATTCTGAATACTTACATGAAGTAAGAGCGACAAATTCAAATAACCGGTTGAACAAAATATCATAAAGGTATAGTAAAGTGAACATATTGTACGACATAACGTAATTTGGATATCAAATGGCAAGATAAACGGTTCTTATTTCACCCAATAGTCACTCAGTTATGTCTCCGGCCCGAAATGTAGAAATAAGCTTATAAATAAACTAGCAACGTGGAAATTATAAGCGTAAGACGTTTTTAACGCTCTGTCCCTTTTAATAGTATAGGTTTAACAAAGCAACGTTGCCAGTTTGTTTATAACATATATATATTTGAGTTTGACGCTCTCACTATCCGGACTCGATTGATTTCAGTATTCATTTTCTCATATACGTGACCATGGAATTTATCAATGAATTTGTCGCCGTTATTAAAATTATGAATGAATTTGTCGCCGTTTTTAAAATATTTGTACCCGTCTGCTGAAAACGGTTGTTTGAATTTGTCCCTCAAATATACGAAAATTATTAGTATTAATAGACCGTCCCGCTGAGTTATTTTTCTATTTCTTTAGTAAATAAATTACAATTATAATATGTATGCTTTAATTATGTCGGCACAGTCAATTTTTAGTACAAATTATTTGAGCACCATTTTAACTATAATAACATAATTATTTGTTTATCTTCTTATTTAGTAGATATATTTGTTATGTTAGATAGAAGTTTTAAATTTACTTTTTACATTTTATTTTAAACTTATAATTTAAGACTTAAAAGTATAAATAATTGTTTACTGAATTGAGAACTTAATGTATTAAACTGTTGCATAAAAATTGCGTGAAATGTTAATAATCATATATATATATATAAACAATGTTATTTAATTAGCTTTAGAAAGTGATTGATTTATCTTTGACCACTTAATTTTTCCTAAAATAATAATAATCTTGGAAATATTTTTTTTGCTTTGTTGAGTACTATTGATCTCTTAAATTATAAGTGGTACAATACATTTTAAGTCTGTCTTTAACCCTTAAGGATAACAACTTTAATTTTTATAATAACAACATATTTATTGCCTATTAGTATTGTAAATAAATTGTATTTATAAAATATATGTTGTTTATTATGTAGGCTTAGACAATTTTTAGTACAAATTATTTAAGCATCACTATTGCTCTATTAAAGTTATTCTTTTATGTTCTTTTTTAGCAAAAATATTTAAAATTTTATATTATATAGAAATTAGATGTACAATGTAACTAATAATTTAATCGGTTGTGCACTGTAAAAACTTTTAGCTTAGACAATTTTTAGTACAAATAAACTATTCAAGCACCATTTTTACTACATTAAAGTTATTCTTTTTTTTAGCAGATATATTTATTATGTTTGATAGTAATTATAAACTTTGTTTTACATTTTATTTTAAACGAAATATTTATTGTAATTAAATTAATTAATGTATAATTGAAAAGCTTCATATTTTATTTGACACTAAATTTGTAATGTAAATATTATTAATTAAATCGGTTGTGCACTATAATAACTTTTCATTTAAAATTAAAAAATATAAATAATCGTTTACAAAATTGTGATCTCAATAAATATATGGGACTATTACATAAAAATTGCGTGAATAATACTAAAAATATTTTATAAGTATACATATGTTATTCAATTAGCTTTACAGGGTAATTATTTTAGTTGACCACTAAATTTCTCTAAAAGTAATAATAATTTTGGAAATTTTGTTTTGCTTTGTTGAGTACTATTGACCTCTCAAATTATAAGTGGTTAAATTCTTTTTAAGTCTGTCATTTAACCCTTATAAGGGTACCAACTTTATTTTTTTAGATGGCAACATACATTTTTAACTTCCTTAAAAAATAAAAAAAATGATCGAATTTAGAAAAATGACTGGTCGATAATAAGTATCAGACAAGTAATTCGGAAAATATTAGTATTTTTATATTTAGGCAGATTGGAATGCGCGGCTGTGAAACGTCTAATGATAAAAATGGTCAGAATTATTTTACTGAAGTCAATCAACAGAAGTAGTAAGAGCGACAAATTCAAATATTCATATGAACAAAATTAAGTGTCAATAATGTATAGTACAATAAATATATTGCATACGAGAACGTGACTTGGTGGTCAACAAACTGACAACGTTGTTTCGACATGACTGTATGATTGCAGAGGACAGAGCGTTAAAATCGTTCTCTACGCTTACTAATACCACGTTGCCAGTTTGCTCATTACCTTTTCTTTTATTTGGATATGTCGCCGTTTTTAAAATATTTGTACCCGTCTGCTGAAAACGGTTGTGTGAATTTGTCCCTCAAATATACGAAAATTATTGCTATTAATAGACTGTACGATTGGGTTATTTTTCTATTTGTTATTTATCGCCTATTAGTATTGTAAATATATTGTATTAATAAAATATATGATGTCGATTATATCATCGGTCTAGTCAATATTTGTTACACATTATTCAAGTACCTCTTTTACTTTAATGTTGTAGTCTTCCAGTTTTGTGTTTACGAGCAGAAATTGTTATGTTTGAGGAAAGTTTTAAATTTTCTTTTTACATTTTATTGTAAACTAAATATATATTGTAATTTACATTATAGTTGAAAAGCAATCTACAGAAGATAACTAATACTTCGAAAGAAAATCAACAAATTTAATACTTTATGGTAAACAATTTTACTATTATTATTATTTTTTAACTTCAATTCTAAATTATAATATAAGTAAACGTTTGGTATCCTGTAATATATTGATTTAAATTTTTCCTATGAATAATTGTTTTATCTTTAATCAAATTAGTTAATTTTTTATTATTTGATTAACTTTTTTCTTTGCCCTGTTTATAAATGGAGGATGAAAATTTCAATTAGTGTTATAATATTTAGTCTACTTTTTACTTATAAAGCTAGACGAAGATATTTTTTTGACTATTTTATAAGCAATTGCTGCAATATTTAAGAAATAATTATTATATTAAATAAAATCATCAAAATTTTTGTTATCATTTTATTGCATTCAAAACAATTTTCTAAAGTATTTTTTTCCTTTCAAAACTTATAGTTTATGAACCTAGGGCTCAATTTTTGAATATTAACCGACCTATTCCTAACATATCTATAATTAAAATTGTCTTCTCTAAAACTTTTAATAAACTTAATTTTAATCTCATATAAGTATGTCAAATATTGGATTATTCTAATAATTAATCAAGCCATTAAATAAAATATGTAATATCAATTATATTATTTATACTAACTACATTAAACATAATAATAGTAATATTTAAATTAAAAAAAAATCTGACATGCCTTAAAAAACACATTGAAAAAGTAATTACACACTAAGAAAAAAAAATAGAACCAAAAACATAACCAAAAAAAGGTTACATAACATTTATCCAAACTTTTAATTAAGAGAACGCCATACAAAGAATAAAACGATTTTTAACATGTTTTGCGCGAAAAAAGTTTATTTGATCTAGTCCTAAAATTTTTAACAAATTATTAAGGAAAAAATTATCTGTAATGTAATTAGTGTTTTAATTTTTTTTGTTATAATTTCTAGTATTTTATATTCACTAGTAAACATTCCTATTTTTTGGTTTTTTAAATGTTCAATTAATAATTTCATAATTTCGTTATCAATATTATAAAAACGCTAGATCTTATGTAATTTTCTCTTTTATAATTTGTTGAAAAATCATGGTGACAATTCAACTTGGTAAAAATTTTCTTGTGCGAAACAGTTTTTATACAACAAAGAAATGTGGACACTTGTCGGTTTCTAGGGGTATTTTTAACATGACGAATTTGATGTTGAGCGACGGTAACCGATTACCCTCACCCTTCAACTGTTCCCTCGTGTACGATCATAACTAGTTATTTTATACTTTATTATCTATGCACTGGGATACCATTTAGCAGTCGTTTATCTGAATTTATAAAAAACATTGTCATTGCTGACGGGAGATGGGATCTTGAAAATTAAAATGTAAATAATCATAATATATATATATATATATAAAAAGACTCATATTTGATTATTTTTTTTTTAGTGCAAAAAGTTTTAATTTTATCGAAAAAATGATTTATAATAATAATATATATATATTTTTTTTTTAGTTGGTTTATTATGCAAACAAATGAGTATTTTATATAAAATATTCAGAATTAAATGTCTTAATATATTTATTCATTACTTACATTTTCTAGCTTGGATAAGAAGCTGAGACGGTATCAATTTTTAAATTTGACACGGTCCCGCGTTGCTTTGCGATACACGGAGTCCCGCGACCCGTGCCACCTTTATCAGCCATTGCCTAACTACGTGTAGTTTGACTGACTAATACCGCGTGCGATACGCCACGGTACAAAGTCCAGCAAGTGCCGCATGTCCGTCGACGTCCCGTCTCAAATATCGTCCCGTCCGAACTACGGTTTTTCACCTCACTGCGAGATAGTGATGGGAATTTCGGGTCAATCGAACGATCCGGATCGTTTGGATCGGATCGTTCAAATGACCCGTTCATATAACTCGTTCTTTCGTTCATTTCTTACGATCGGTCACGGTTCTTATCAATTACTCCTTACTATGGTTTTCCTGAACGAGTCGTTCAAATTCGCATTTTCACCATGTAACATTACCATGATATCAGAATTTTTACTGATAATACACTTGTATAATCGGGTTATATATTATTTTTTCAAATACAAATTACTTGAAATAACATAATATGCTGTTATACACGAATATTTTTGTATAGAATAAAAACAAATAATTTATACTAGCGGATGAGTTGCGGTACATAAATCCATAGAATTTGTTTCTATAATAAGCGAAATCATTTAAATTATTTGTTTTCATAAAAGGAGTTTTATAGAGAAATTAATTCACCTAAATCAGATATTACAATTTACAGCAGCTATGACCAGATTATAAAAGAGTGAGGTGGTTTAATACCTCTCACAACAATTATATTAGTCTAATAGTCAATTTTTGTCCTAGTTGCTAAATTCAATAATTCATAGACCTATTTTCGCTTATAAATAATTATATGAATGTAATATTTATGAAATAAATAGCTATATATTGATAATCAAAATTGTTCTTCAAATGAACAATATAGTAGGATACTTGAAATAATCTAACTGTATTAAACCTGCATGATTATGTTAGTAGAAACATGTCACAACTTTGAAAATTTAGTCTGCAGACCTGCAATAAAAATGTTTTTATCACAAACCAAATAGTGTTGCTTTTAAACTCTCATTGGCAATAAGTATTTTTTTATTTAATTTTTTAAAAAAACATTATAAGTATATATTCTTCGTTTTTTTTTTTAATTTTTATATTATAAGAATTGAAGGTTAGGCATAGGTTTTAACCGAAGTGCAGGTAAACGTTCAGTAAATGAACGAATCATGAAACAATGTGTCCGATATATTGCGTGAAACGAACGAACGAATGAACGTATGAACGAATGAACGATATCTATTTTTTTTGCGATCCGGATCAACTCGTTCACTGATATGACCCGTTCAAAAAGACCCGTTCGTTCGTGAACGACCCATCACTACTGCGAGACATCGTCATTTACGTACTGTATTATTATTATTATTTTTGTTTTACTTCCTTTTTTTTTTTTCAAATAAACGGCTCGACGCCATTCAGTGAACTATTAAACCAGTGTCGTCTACATTATAATGCTCATTACGCTAGTCATATTAAATACTTTTAAAAAAATTAAGAAAAATGTGCATAAATTCTTACTGCCCTATGTAATACGAATTTCGTACCTAGAGCGCTATAGTATAGGTGTTACGTTTATGGTTGTAATTAATTTTAGCAATTAATCAATTCAATTAACTTTACTTAGTTTATTAAAGTTGTTATTTTAAAAATTGTCACCTTGAATACGAATGCCAATATAGTATATTAAGATATTTTATTTCACAATTAATCAACATGTGAAAATGATTATATTTAGGGTACTTTTTGTTTCATCAATACAACAATGTTGATAAATTAATTTTTTTCAAGTAATTGTTGTATTCGTAATTTTTAAAGACTACCCAGTAATATCTTGGTTATAATAAAATATGAAAGAATACCATATTTTGTGATAGATTGTTGTAACTACTGGACAATAAATAAATTATACTAATAATTAGGCTTGGGAACTTGTAACAAATACATATATATTTGAATAATGTAAAAATAACAGAGTGAAATATAGCTCTATTGAATATAATCTACAATCAAAGTTCCAAATTTTATCTTGCAGTTATTTAGTATTGAAGCTATTTTAGTAATTTTCAATATGTTAGTGTTTCTTTAAAAATTAAACACACTGAATTGATTTTTTTAAATGAAATAAATTATCTTTAATAAATGTCTTGGTACATGTACCAATAGCCGTACACTGGAAATTGCTGACTAATACACAATTAAAAACACAATAATAGCATATTTTAGAATATGCGCGGCTATGATGACCAAAGGTTAGTTTTTTTTTCAAATTAAATTATATTACATAAACTTTAATTTAAGATATATAGAGTGTTCAGTAAGTAAGGAAACTGGTTTCTATTGTTCTAATTGTTTATAACGATTGACTTGATTCCTTACTTACTGAATACATTGTATATAAAAGTGTCAATATTTCTAGAACATTTTCAAAAGTTAAGTTGAAAAAGTTGCCTTTTTCATACCCCACCTGTGGGTAGGTAAAGGATCAGAGGTTTTCAGAAAAAATATACCAAATGATTGGTAATTATCTATATTTATCAAAAAATATTATGTTGATTTGTTCATTTTTAAAAAAGTTATGGTTTTAAGAAAAAAAGTTTTTAAAAAAATAAAAAATTACCGATTTTTATAATTGTAAATTTTTGGGGGATTTTCCTCGTTTTTGGGGAACGAGGGAATTTTTTCAATTGTTGAGGGTAATGTCTTCGGCTAGATTAAATTTGTGATCTTTTGACGTATTGTTCATAAAAATTGGTACAGTGAGAGCTGCGAATAAATGGTTGTAGACAAGGAATAAAAAAGAAAATTACAATTATAAAGTTTGTCTCAAAATACATGAGTACAACAATTTTAAGAATAAATTAAAGTAATCTATTGTTGTATTTTTAAAACAAAAATTACCTTAATAACCATTCTTAAACTCTGATTTATTGTTAAAAAAAATATCTTAAACAAAATAATAATATTTTGCTATATTGGCATCCATACGAATCGATACGCATATGTATCATTCAAATTGTTTGAATAGTTTATTTTAAAAGTGAAATTTTTAAAATAACAACTTTAATATATTGACTTACGTTGTTTTAATTGTTTAATTTCTAAAATTATTGAAATTGCTTATCAAGAAGATACAATATTATTGAGTACTGTATACCTTGTTCATTAATATATCTAAAATTTGCAAAAGCTAGGTTTATTAATTTATAATATTTGGTGCTAAGTATATACAATAATAATTAGTAATTATGTCACATTGTTATTATCTATACATATAAATAAGAGTATATTATATTTCAATAGCATTACCAATGAAAGAATAAAAATGAATATTATAATTATAATAAAATTTAATTATATAAATAATTAATTTTTTATCATTATACTGGATTGTAAGGGCTTTAAATGAAGGATTAAGCTAAAATAATTATAATTTTTGAAAATGTATTAATAATATATATAATATATCAAGAGACCGGCGAAATGTCCTAGAGCCGTATTAAGTGGGTGTACGTACTATAGTTTACTAGGTTTTACTCGCACTTAAGTGAATTTAAAGTTAAATTACATTTCATATGAGCATCACGACACTCAAATTTTTCTTTTCAACTTTCCAATCTAAAATAAATTACAATTATCCCACTTGACCCTATCATCATGTAGCGTATCAGAGATAAAAATTTTTAATTTACATTTTTTGTATAAACGAGGTATTACACGCTTAGTTTAATTTAAGATTTATCATAAAAAATGATTCTTTGGAAATTTAATTTTAATGAAGTGGTAGAAAAATGATAGTGTATGCTATATGCAGTTGATACTTATACCTAGGACCCAGGAATAGGTGGCGTTCTCTAGGGATGCTGGTTTGTATTCTTCTTATGGTAACCGGACAGTAACCGCTGCTTGCATTTGATTAGAAATTTTTAGAAAGGAATTCCTAACTTCAGTTGTTTCAAATAAACGAGCCAGTTTTTAACTGTCATTAATTTCAAATATATCTGAGGTTACGTATTAAATTCATTTTCATATTAATTATGATTTTAAAGTTATTAATTGAAATTTAAGTTATCTTCAGCTACATTTTACTTTATTATTGGTGGTGTTCACCTGCTCAATTTTCAATCTCAATAAAACCGAGATTTTGTTATTGTTTTTATTTTTACGATTTAAAGACTTCAATTTTTATGGCTGACGAGTGTAAGTTGAATTATTTATAATAATATGATTTATTATATATTATAATGTGTAAATATATATATATATAAATGATAAAACTATATTAAATTGAGTTTTAACTATCACATTCAATAATATCCCTTCATTTATTTTTTGGCCTTCCTCTACTTCTTCTTTCCTCAACATTTATTTCCATAACTGTTCTTACAGCTTCTGATTCTCTCCGCATAACATTAACAAACCAAAGTATATTTTCTCTCATTATATTTACAATTAACGCTATACTTATACTCTCTCTTGTATGTTTTTCCTTATTCTATCTTCTCTAGTCATTCTACTCATTCATCTAAGCATTCTCATCTTTGCTACACTAATTTTCTACTCTTTTCTTTTGTCAACCACTCTGAACCATACATCATAGCTGGTCTTTAGTCTGAATCTCCACACCTCTAACCTTTGATTAATTTTCTTTCTATTTCACCCTTTATATTATATGAATAAAAATTTTTTCCAGTTATTTTTTTTTTTATGTGTATTTGTCTTTTTGATGAAAAAATTCACATAATTTTTGGTAAACATGTTGGATATTTTTTAAATTTGTTTCAAATACTCATCAAAGGATTTCACAACAGTAATTTTAATCACTGTCACATATCTATCAAAACTAATCTGAAGAAATGCCTCAACTCCTCTATACTAAATACTGACTGTACTTAAATTTTTATTTATACATATGCTTTCATAGAGCAATTTGATAAAAAAATTTGATAAAAAAATTTGTTTTGTACTATAAAGTAGTTAAAAATTATTCAAATATTTAATGAACTCTAAAAAATATCTTTGTTTATGATCATAGTTGATTTATCTTTATTCAATCAATTTGAAGAGGAGCTTGGTTCTTCATTAAGACATTGCCGTAATGCAACACGCAAGCTTAAACAGCTAACAAAAAACATTGTTGAATTAAAGTTAAATAATCAAGTAAATTATATATAGATCAGTTATTAATACTGTATTGTAATTTTATTTTATAACCTTAAATTAGAGTATAATTATTTATGCAATATCAATCATAAAATATTGTATAATATGTTTATCAATTATGATTCAATTGTTTTTAAATAATAATACTCATTTTATTTATTATAGCTTGAAGTATCTTATAAAGAGAATGATATTGATTTGAGTGTAAAAAATATTTTAGATGACATTCAAAATATACGCGTTAAAGTAGATACAGTTGAAACGATAGTCGATACTTCTAAAAATGTGAGTTTTGAATCTTTTGTTAAAATTTTATTGGTATATTTTAATTTATGTTCTTATCTAAATGGAATTTGAATACATTTTGAAAACATTAAAAAAAATAAAAATAGAATTGAAATATAGTAATATAAATTGTATTTATATTACTATTTGTATTTATTTTATAAAAACTATGAAAAAAAAAATTATTCTTTTAGACTATATTCAATCTTACAGAAACCGTACAAGAATTTGAAAATATAGTTCATATTTTATTGGAAAATGAAAGAACAATATTTTCTCATCGTAAGTAAATTGCATATTTATTTTTAATTGTGAAATGTAACATCAAGTTTTTTTTTAGGTAATTTATTATAATTTTTGTGAAAAGTAACCTCACAAGACAAATCAACAAAATTATTAAAGAAAAAAAGAATAATAATATTGACATTAGTGTATACATTATATGTATTTATTGATTATTATTAAAAACCCTTTGTCATTATGTCATTTAAACAAGATTATAATAGTTCTAACAAGGATCTTAGAAATCTTAGGGTAATTTCTATAATATTTATAGTAATTAACAGGGCTTGTAAGTTTATGCATTTATTAATTTTTATTAAGCCATCACAAAGAAATCTGTAAAAGAAATGTAAAAGCAAATTTTATAACTATGTAAAAAAATAATGCAAAAATAAAATTCTGTTGGTGTTTATTTATCATCTCTTTCCTTTTGATATGTTACAAATTTAATATATTGCTTTATTATGAATTCATCTAGGAATATTTTCATTTTTATTTAATTGTTTTAAGAATTACTCTAGCATAATGTATAAATTTATTAGCTCTGATAAATAATCTTTCTATAAGCGTGTTTTGTTATAGTTGTTGAAAAATTTTTGGTATACTAAACCTTTTTAGCAATTCTTATAAATTCATAATTTCTTTAAAAATGTAATTATTGTATTTGGTAAACATTTTATATTGTACAACTATTTTTAATGTAAATGGTTATACATTTTTCAAAAATAAATACAGGTAACTAACAACGCTTATAACATTACAATTATCATTTTGTTGAAAATAAAAAAAAATATTTATTGCCTTCTTAGGTTATATTTAAAGCATATTTAGTATTATTTGTCTTTAATAAGAAAAATAATTTTGATGTATCACTAACAATTTTAAGACTAGTATAGGAATACTTAAGTTACAAGTATTTTAATACATATAGTGGTTATGATAAATAGATGGAGTATACTTAAACTGGTACACCTACCCATGTTGTATTACTACTTTAGACAATAATTATGAAAAAAATATATAAAACGAAGTATAAAGAAAAATGATAATTGTATCAAAAGTTATTAGCATTGTCATATCTAAAACACTGTATACACAATTAAAAAACTTATTGCAGTCAAAACCTGATATAGTAGAAGTCAGTAATGATAGAAATCTAATAGTGATTAAAACCAGTAATATGCTATAAAACAAAAGATATATTTGTGAATTTTTTGTTTTTAACTTAGTAAAAAAATTATGCAAAATATATTTTATGAAGACAAAAATTAGTTTTTTATTATTTTATAAATAGAGGACAACTATTCATAGATGACATGTTGTTGAGATAAATAATTTTTTAATAAATAAAGCATATTACTAGCTTTAAAAAATGTAGAATTTTCTGTATATTTATAAAAATTGTTTATAGTTATTAGTTTAATACTTGATAATTTTTTTTAACCAATATTTTAGACAAATTTCTAAACTTATAATGTGTATTTTTTTCTATTACATCAAAAAATGATAAAATTTACTTAAATGTTATTGGAGTTTTCAAGATAGTATTTTTAAAAAATTTAATTACATTTTGTCTGTAAGAATTAAAATATTAAAATCTGTATCATACATAATTTCACTGATATTTATAACTAGGCTTTGACTAGTTATACCATTTACTTTATATTATTTCAACAGCTTATCTTTTTAAATGAAAATCATTCTATAATTAATATCATTTTATTTAGTCTCAAAGATTTAAAGAATTATTGGGAGTTCAAATATCAGAAGATGAAGCAAAATCTCTTTCAAATGGAAGATTAACATGTTTAATTTGTAATAATAAACCAATATTTGACATAATAGTCATTCTTTCAATTCATAGAAAAGGAAAAAAACATTTATCAAGTGCACTCATTATGTGTTCAAATATTAGTTTTAAAACCTGAAAATCTAATTCTAAAATCATTTTTATGGTGATGTACCAATACTTATACCTCATCTACCTTATCCTATTTACATAAAATATACTAGATTGATATCTATTCTATTAATTACTTTTTATAGCAATAATATTGATAATTCCAGGATCTTAATAATATTAGGCCTAACATTGTTCTCCAAATTTAGAAGTAATTGTAAAAAAATGGAAAAGTAAATATTCTTTAGGTGGAAAACTTGATTACATTTTATTAGTATTATTTAATTTTTTTTTTTTGGAAAACTTTCTTTTTAAATTTCTAAAAGATAAAATTCTGTGTAATCTTCTTTACTATTAATCTGTCTTTTTTTTTTTTTAAGAACTTAGAAAATATTTACAAAGAAAAAGAATTTACTATGATTAGATCTATATGAATACATAAAGAAAATATAAAAAATATATGAAATCTTTAGGAAAACCAAAGAATAATTAAATATAATAGTAGAAAAAGGAAAAAGTTAGGTTATGAAATAGGTAAAAAAATTTAGTGTCCAATCAAATTCTATAACATAAACTACTAACTATTCATTATTTTATTTTATTTTGTTAATTTATTAGAACTTATTGGACTACAATTTTCTTCTTTTTCCTCGCCATTATTCCAGCTACTTGGGGTCGGCTTTTTGGACTACAATGATATCAAAAATATATAATGTATTATAATAGGGTGTCCTACAATAATATTAACAATATTGTTTTAATACACATATTTAACTTAATGAACCTTATAAAGTGATATAAGATGAATAGACATGGGAAAGATACTATGTCCAAAATTATGAATTTTTTGGTTTTGTATTGCTAATGTAGTAAATACAAATCCTAATATCCTATGAAAAAAAAAAGTGGTATAGATTTAATATTGAAAACAAAATAATGCTTGTGGTAAGATTTGTGATTTTGACAACATTTTTCATTCTCATTAAAAATTTAGTTTTTGTAACAATACCTTTCTATAAATTTGTCTCAATTGTTAAAAAAAAATTATGGTGTAATAATATTTTACTTATGATTTCTTTTTTCATAATATTTTTGANAAAAAAAAATTATGGTGTAATAATATTTTACTTATGATTTCTTTTTTCATAATATTTAAATAGAAGGTAAATTTTAAATCAATATAATAATAAATATTTTTTTGTTATAAATTTCAAAAAGATTAACTTGTTTAACAGCTATAAATTGTATCAGATTATTTGGCTTCTATTAAAACAATATCTCTAGAAAATGTATTTTACCATGTTAATAAAACAATTTTAATCTCAAATAGATGATTTTTTATTTACAACTACTAGGATTGATTTAAACAAACGGGCTTATGTAAAAATTATGATGTAATTATCTATTTTAAAGAATGGTATATATTCATAAAAAAACTTTTTTTAATTTTAAAAATAATACAAGAAATTACATGATAATAATGTTTTTTTATTTATAGGATTGGTTGGACAAATATATTAATGAGTCATGGTTTAAAGATCCATATGCAGAGTTTGACTCAGAAGATGTTAATTGATAAGTTGGTAAGCTTAAAAGAAATATATTTTGAATACTTCCTATGTATATAATTTTTCATTTTTACTTAAAGAAAAATCAGATTAAAGTAATTAGAATATATAATAGATGATAATTAGCCCAAAAGTTGAAAGTCTAATGATTGTTGTCTATGATATAATGATAAACTACGATGTTCCTAAAAATAAAAAAAATTGATTTTAACTAATATTATTCACAAAATAAAATAAATAAAAATAAATACCATTGGATCTTTATCTCTGTTATCAAAAACTGATTTTCTTTCTTTTGCATGACAATATTTTTCATCTTCACAACTCTTGCTCCTCCTGTAATTTTTAGGTAATTGTTAAAGAAACATAGTCTTAATTTATTAAATATAAAATAAATTCACCACTTCTCATACATTGAAAACTTTCGGTTTTGTAAATTATCTTTATTTTTTTCCATTTCCAAAGAATTATTATGATTTTCAGGACATCTATTAAATAATGATTTCATAGAATAAATTTCAGAAAGGGTGATTAAAAATATTACTTATCAATTTTGCAACTGTTCCTGTTTCTTACAGATTCTAGCAATTGGGATGAAGAGGGAGTCATTCTAGCTTGTAGTACCTGAAAAAATATGATTAAGTTTAATATCAACTTTCTATATTTTATGAAAATTCATAAATATTCTCAATTTATAATAATAAAAAAAATTTAAGTAATTTATCTAAAATTATTTAAATTTATTTATTTAAAAAAATGTTAACTTGACTCAAGCAAATGCTTAATTTTATTAAAAATTGTAGTTTATTTAAATCAAATATTTTCTGAATTATTCTAATTTAAAACCTAGTGATTCTTAAGGTACACACTGTTTATCATTAAATATACATATTTTGTGGAATAAATAAATATTTGTTCTTACTGGCCAAGATTTAGCTCGCATTTCTCTGAGATCAATGTTTCTGAAAAACTCTGTCATTACAAGTTGTTCTATAGTAGGCACGCAATTATTAGAATTTTTGAATATCAAATTTGTTATTTCTACAACCTAAAATTATTTATAAATATATAAATTATTTTAATCTTGTTAAATTTAATAATTGTTAAATCAATTTTTTTTACTTGAGGATAGTGAGCAATGTCATTTAGGTTTATATCACTAGGCTCTGGCGTTACCAATTCATATCCAGCTGCCATTTCAAATAATACATGTCCTAAAACCATATAAATTAGTTTCAGATATTTTGTTGCAAAGTGATATATTGAATTTACCAAAACAAACTACATCAACCGCTGAAAAATCATCCAATTCTAAATTGCCACTCATAATTAATGGATGTATTCTTGAAGTAAAGCCTAATAATGAATTTTCAAGTCCTGTAATTCTTTTATAATAGTTTTATGTGAACTAGTATTTAAATCAAATAATCAATTAATTGTATGTCAATACCTGGCTACTCCATTTTGTAATATAACGTTTCCTGAATGTAAATTACAATCATGTGGAAATTTTTTTTTTTTAAGAAATAAAAGTGCTTCTAAAATTTGTCTTCCAAGCCTTTGAATTTGTGATAAAGGTAAACCCTCACTACGCTGTCCATATTTATCACTCCAGTCATCATGCCAACAGCTCTTTTAAACAATTACTGTTATTATTAAAATTAATAGTAATTTATATACTTTATTTATTAAAAAATTAATAGTTACTTTATATATGAGATCTTTTAAACTTCCTTTACTATTAAATGGAAGTACTAAAGTAATAAATGTAGTATCTGGATTAGTTGTTCCTTTTACAAATTCAATGTCTAGTACAGGGTAAATGTATGGGTGTTGCAATGTTAAGAATAAATCTACTATAGTGTCTCTTGTATGAAGTGTGCATTCTAAAACACTTTTAGGATTTTTAGGAACTAATGTTAAAAGTCGTTCAGTTTTAACCGATCCATCGCGTACCACAAACCAATGTTTATCTACCCTATGTCAATATTGTAATATAACAATATTAATTATTAACTGAACATGAATATTTTAATAATACAAATAGAATTAAAATTTAATTATATAATTGAACAAATGGATGTTTTAACAATATAATGTTCATTTAATTTATTTATACCTCATCAGAAATATATTGTTAAATTGTATAGTTTTCATACCTAGAACCTATGTCATTCAGATGTTGTAAAAGAGTATAACGAGGACATACTCTTAAGTAATATTTGCAAGCAATTTGAGCTTGTTGACGAGCTTTACGTTCCAATTCCATGTGCTCTTGTCCTAATGAATCAGGTTCTAGTGCTGTGTATTGGTATCTGCTACGGTTTCTACAAAAATTGTAAAAATGTATAGAATTTTATTTAACTACAATAATGTTTGATTATTTGACCAAACTTTTTTGTTTGTTTTGTTGTACAATAGTCACATGTATCTAAATACTGTTCTTGGGTTTCGTTATTACACCATAACGCAAAACGAAAATTAAATGGACAAAAAGAATTTCTTACTCTTGCATTATGATCTGGTTTACGTGTCATTAAATGACTAGTTATTCGCGATATAGGTCGCTCATTAGATAGTGAAAAATCATTGGTTTCCAGTAATGGAGGCGACGATATAATAGATACAATTGTACACGTGTTGTGCTTTTCAGTTTTAAAAAAAGCCATTTTCCGACAAGAAATCATCAAGGTTAAATGTTATACTGAAGAATATCTGGACTTTATAAATTAATAAAAGTATTTGATTTGTCATGATAATAAATAATTATTTTTAAACATTTTCATTTGAATGAATATTATGGGTATTATTCATGTTTATTATCGGTGTGTATAAAAACATGACCCAAAAATATCACGTAATTCCATTATTTATTAAATGAATGTTTTTATTCGACTATAGTCATTTACACGTTATAGTTCATAACAGGTGTAATCTTGTTACATCAAAACTATTTATATTGCTTTAGTCATTATGTAATTCAATTTTAATTGTAATATTTTAAATATTATTTTGTTCATAAAGCCTATTGAATTGTAGTAATTTTAGTAGAACAATAATACTTACGAGCAAGCTTTTCTAATCCAATAGGCTAGAAAACCTAATAGCCCAAAACCACTGATCAGTGCAACAGTCATCACCTAAAAATCAGTGTATATTAAATAATTTTATCATTGAATTATGAAAGATCCGAGCCGTAAAAAAATTAATTATTAATAAAATTTTACATCGTTATACAACAAAATTATTATTAATTAAAAGAATATATTTAAAATATTTTTAGTAGATTTCCAGGGCACCTATCTAGGGACATAAAGAATTCATATTTGAATAGGTCAGACTAATCTAATTATTAGACTGATTGATTTTTTAATATTTTATTTTACCGACTATAATGTCAAAAAATATGTTCTTTTGGTAGACTGAGACAATTTGAGAGAAAGCTAATTCTTTTCCTTCCTTTAATTACACCCCTGGAATTATTAAATGATAATTGTGTAATNGCTAATTCTTTTCCTTCCTTTAATTACACCCCTGGAATTATTAAATGATTTAGAACTAAGGGTCCATTTGGATACTTTGCGTTTCATGAAGATTATTTTTTAATTAGTATAAGACGCAAAACTATTATTCTTTTTGTGCTTATAAAGCGTATATTTTATATTTATCAAGACAGTTATTTAAAAATATAAAATACTTTGAGACAAGCGAATCTTAAACCATGTCAGCTCACTTAATTGTTAGAATAAATAAAATTATGTTCTTTTATTCATAAATATTCAAATTAAATATCGATATATCTCAATATCGATTAACGCATCATCTATTTTTTGATATTTTTCGTGTTACACGTATTTTTTTTTTTTTTGTTATAGCAATTCTCACCCGACAAAATTCTAAATTGCGCGTCTAATGTAGGCCTGTTTTTTGTTAGGTTTACAAACATTTATGAATTTTTTTATGAGGGTTTACGAGTAACTTCAGTTAGCAAATGTTAGGGGTTTGTTTAATAGTTGAGGATCTTGGTCAAAACCAAGAATCGGAAGCTACTCGACGTCTGCTCAAATATCGTCCCTATCTCCTTAAATGAGTTTTAATTGCCTGAAGGAGACACAGGCAATCGTGTACCTTAGTTACAGGGGATAGATTATTAAATAAAATTAGACTATTGTTTTATGTCAACGACAAAGTAAGGTTATATTTAGATGTTCAGTAAATATAAGTTATATGTAATGTACAATACGTCTGACCTGAATCCTAGTACAGTTGGTTAGTAGGTATATCCAAGTGAGACGGAGTTGGTTGGCTATGATGACAATTGGCGATAGACGGGTCGTTGAATAAAACAAGTAAAGTTATAAATAATATAAATAAGACGAAAGTAATAATATTGAAAATTATGTCTATAACGGCCACTCAAACACAACTGCCCTTTGTTAGTTCGACGTCAGTAGCTCCGGACTACAGACGAGTAGAATTGTCACATCAGCATCTCCCTCTATGCTAATTAATATGTATTAGGAATTAAATAAATATAATTAAAACGTGTGTAATATAAGTGGTAAGAACATAGTAATAAATGTTCTTACATTACCCTCTCCCCTATTAAAGGTTCGACTCTGAACCTTATAAAAGGTCAAAATATTAAGAAAAAGAGAAAAGAAAGAAGAAGAAAAAAAAATTTGTCTAATAATGCTTATAAAGCTTTTAAGTTATGGTTCTCTTTAAAATTAGGGGTGGGAACCTTGTTATGTTCACGAAACTTCTTGTAATCTTGTATCTTCATGCGTTCTTAAATTGTTGTTTTCTTACGTAATTAGTTGTGGTATTCGTTTTAATTGATAGTGGTGATATTCATAGTATATATTATAATTGCCTCCTACGACCTATATTGTTCTTACACAAAGCAGAGAATCATCTTTCTACACCAAAGAACGTGAGAGATTATGAGCCCCAATATTAAACATTATCCATGGATCGGACTCTTAGATATTTTTGACGTTTGCTTTCGGGTAATAGGGTAGACATTGCTGGTTAACGTCAAAATTTAATTGCTATATAACTATAAACTGTAGCAATATTCATACAAATTCTGTCATCTATATCCTGGTTATATTATTTATAAAATAATTATAATTATAATTTTTCGTTGGTTAAAAAAAAACGCTCTAAAAAAATTTTATATTCTAAATTTTACTTAATGAGTACGTTTATATTTAGTTTTTTTTTGATTATGTAAAAGTAATATTTTTAGGATAAATGTTTTACTATTTTAGGAGGTATTGAGTGGTCAATTGTCGAGTTAATATTTTTTAATGTTCAATATGCTATTCATACATGAAACGTGTCTTCTGATTTATTTGGTTATACATGATAGTATATAGAGTGATTAATTTATTACACTGACAAAAATCCTTTGTAAAATCAACAAATTTTTTATTAATATATGTCCAACAATATTTTTGATAATTAAATGGTATTTTGGTTTGTAGATTTAATAAAATATTTGTTAAGATGAAAGTTATTTTATTCTTTTAACGAAAATAATGATTAATTTTACAAAAATTTTATTGGATATATTTTGATGATGCAATTGTTGATTTTACTAAAGGATTAAGAGGCTACACTTGCTTCTTCTTAAATGTATAATTTTCTAATAAACTAATCAATTATGAATATCGCTATTTGAAAAAATAAAGTTGACACCGTTATCTAGGCATCAAGAATGAACAAAAAAAATATTTTAACAGATAATTAACTATTTTAAAAGAAAACGAGTGGCTTAGTGCTAAAATTATCACTCTGTATTTGTAGCAGGTATGACCAGTCGACGAATTTTTTTGTTTACTCTACTTCAATAACAACAGCAAATGTATATTTTTATTATGATAAAAATAATTGTTTTTATTCATCTAAAGCTATTTTTANAAAATAAATATTTTTATTCATCTAAAGCTATTTTGATTGATTTTAAAAATGAAATTAATTATTTTTGACTTTTAATAGTTTATCAATATAAAATTGTTAGATTTATAAAATATAGTATTTTATCAAGATATTTGAAATAATGTATGTAATACATTTATTTCGTACCATATAAGAAACGACTAAATCGACACCAAAGAATTGATCAACTCTTTTTTCAGGTATAATCACACGAGCCGTCATCTTAGCAACGACCAACAGTTGATAATAGAGTCAATATTTTAACTCGATACTTGTGGATGAATTCTGCCTAAAGTATGCAGCAAAGCAGTATAACTTCCTGGCACGTGCAGGCACAGCGCCAACCGCCTGCAACACGCATTTATATAGAACATCCATAATTCATCGTGGATAATATACTTAATGTACAATCAATCATTTACTTATTGTAAAAATAGCAATATCGTTATAATAACTTACTCTGAAAATTCTCTACAATAAATAGTTTCAGCATTGTATTTGTTATTGATGACTTCATACTTCTGACTTTATTTATAATTGATTTCCAAAGGTAACAACAATTACATACCTCTAAAGGAAATAAGTACCTGTAAATTCAGACACTAGCTCATAAACAGATTAAATTTGTATTAAAATGTCCATGAAATAATTTTGTGTTTCATCTATACAAATATGATAAATAGAAATGATCACTGAGCATACGTAAATATCGTTATCGAACAAAGTCGATTTCTTTTGTAAAAACATGCCGCGCGCGCTGAAATAACAAAAAGGGCGCAAGTCTGCTCACACTGCGCCAGTCTTTTGGCCTATAACCGTCGTACCGTTCTACCTAAAGGTGTTTACAGCTGATCAACATTTAAAACGAACTTTCCATTTCTTAACTGTGTCCTCTACAAGTGCAGGATAACGCAATCAGACACACACACTACCAGTAACTGGCATTAGTATGAACCATACAAATATAATAATGTATAATAAAAATATATTTGTAAGTAAAAAACAAAAACCTAAGAAAATTTCGGGTTTTCTTTAAAATTTTAAGAAAATAATGTATATACAGTAGAACCTCATTAATCCGGACCTCATTAGTCCGGACTTCGCTTAATCCGGACAGCTGTCTAATATTACGAAAAATACACAGTTTATGCCGTAGACTAAAATAAACATAAAGGCAAGTTCCTCGAATTTCCCATAAGTACATATATTCTTATCTACCGTCATTAAAGTTATCATAAACTATGTACTAGTAATTTATATTTTGGTCATTATTATATATATACATAATCTATCCACATTAAATATGTAATGTTTTTGCTGGATCTAATATCATGTTGCAATATATATATATATATTAAATCATATATAGTATTTAGTATAATATAATATTCTTAAATCTATTATACGGACACGTTTTTTGGTTATTTTGTTTAATCCGGACTTTCATTAAATCGAACAACCTAGAGCTCTTATTAGTCCGGATCATTGAGGTTCTACTGTATTTTTTTCAGATTCTTTTGACGTGTTGTTGATAATATTGGTAGAAGCTACAGAGTTTTAAGTCGGAAATACTCGAGGGGACTCGGTTCCTTTGTCTCAAACGACAGTTAACAAGCGTTCTCTTTAAAATTTATTCGAAATATAAGTCCATAATTTAAAGGTCACTAGTTATTATATTTTGAAAATATTTAATATAACTAATTTATAAATGAAAATGTTATTATTAACATATCTCACTTCATTTCATTACAGTGTACTTTTTAATTGTACGACATACAGTGAGCCAAGTAAATATTTAGGCATCGTCTAGAAAAGTGATTAAAACATACTTAAAGCAAATTATTTTTCCCAAACAATGTCTGAATATTTACTCGACTCACCGTAACTCTCGGATATTGCTCGATTTAATTTTTTACTTAATAACTCTCATAATTATTTACAAACAGCTCAACCCTACTTTAATTTATAATATATTTCTTTGACGGTGGTGATCTATAACGCATATGGGCCATCTTTCATTTGAACAACGGTATTATTCATTTCTTGTGGTATATTTATTATACTGCCTAGAAAAAACAATGCACGTTGTTACAAAGAACAGAGTATAATATTTGCAGCGGATGTCGTTTGTATAATATTATCATTGTTTGTTGCAGATAATATTTTAATTTACATTTCTTTTTATACAATCTGCGTTGGACATCCCCACTTAAATCAAATTTCAATTAAAATAAATGATATATTAATCACGGCGACCAGAACAAGCCGACCTGGTCTACTGGTGTGATTTTGGCACCATAGAAACGCCGCACTTTGCCTGACAATGGGCCGCATTAGCCAGTTGATATCCACACGCAAAACAATCAACTGCATTTACTATCCAGATCCTATGCGACTGGAGAATCTCAGTCATTCTGGACAGCCACGTGGTTACGACGAGAACACTGCCAAAAATGTCACTGTGACCTAATGTCATCGAGGCTGCGAAATGCACACGACTCGGCGGTACACACACCGATACTATTCCACACACGTACTGACATAGGTGCCTATAGTGACGGGCACGAACACTCCGAATGTCGTTGGTCAAGCGGCGAGAGGGGTGGCTGATGATAAGCTACGTGGAGCATTGGCCGGACTACTCGTGTAACTTTTTAACAATTATTATTGTTACACGATTTACGGTATATTGTTTGTTGAGTCAACCTTGACTTTTAATCTAATAAAATCAATTTTTTTTTAAACGTAAATTTGGAAATTTGTTTATAGATCGTAATATTTTGGACGAAATAAGATTTGGACCTATTGTCCTGAAACCGTGTAATTGTACGAATATAGAACGCTTAAAATAGCATATGGGTAATAATCCATTTTGAATTTTTTTTGATAATCCACCTCTTAGAAGCTAAACTACTGTAGTTTTAACAACAGACACGGTAATAATAATAACGAGTTATGAAATCTTCTTAGCTTTGCCAAGGAGCTAAAACAACTTTCATTTAATTAAAAATTAGTATTTCTCACTATTTTGAGGTCTTTAAAAATATTAATTGTGAAAATTTAACACGAACCCAATTACATAATTTAATATTATTATTTTAAATTGTATTTTTCCTTAATTTTTATATTATGCTTCGAAGTAGAATAAAAGAAACAATTAAAAAATAAATTTCGAAAATTTCACATTAAATTATAAAAATATTAATTAAATAGAATGGAAATTCCGACACAATAGCTTTTCGTCGAAAAGGTGGGGCCCCATACTATTTGTAATTATGTCTTATAAGAATGTTTCTTAGAATCGAGAACATCATTGTTACCATACTGGTGTCAATATTACTTATCGCATAAGTAGTTTCTTCGTTCGGATGGAATAAAAACGGGTAGTTTTGTACATTCAAATTAATGGTTATCAAACAGTAGCTATTGTAAGTGACATTTTCGCGTCCACAGCAGCTATTTTATTGCCAACAGAGTTATGTAGGGCAATTCCGATTGCGTAAAAATAGTTACAAATTGATACACACTTGATATTACACCTGTATTTATGATATTTGATTATTTGTTCTTATCTAATGACCGACAAAGCTATCATTGCACAGTACAAAACAAATTTTGTTGTTATTTTCCAATATTTAAGTTTCGCTAAGAAATTGGGGGGAATCGTAAAACAATTATTGTTTTACGATTACCCCCCATTTTGATAGCTGTATTATACCGCTAACAGAAAAAAAAATTATGTGTTGACATTAAATAAGTGGCGTCAAAAAAAATATATGGTGAGGCACGTGTACATAAAAATAGTTTCCATACACTTTCTTAGCTTCGATAGAAAACTGAGAAGGTATTAGTTTTGCTATGATGTGTATTTTGTTTGTGTCTATCCATATCTGTACCCACTGGACTGTTATTGTTCAACGATGCGCCAAAATATCAAAAAATTCATCTTGTTGATGTATTCCGTATTTTATTTTAATAATTTCCCTTTAAATCTGACACGATAACGTGTTTTTCTCAGTCGCACACTGTTTTATCAACCTAGAACTAACGCCAAGTAACTTATGTGATAAGCTTTTTATTTCAACACATTTGTAAATTGCTTGATCGTCAAGTATATAAATCTCTCGCATTAATTATAAAAGTGAATTATAAACTACATCCAATAAAAATAAGTAAATAATTTTTTAGAAAAACTAGTGAGATATAACCTACATTAAGTATAATACGAAGTGCTTAGAATGCGAGGTAAAAGTGACATTAAAAAAAAAAAAATTATTTAGGCGCACAGTTAGACTGAAAATTAAGAGTTTTTTTTAGTAGTAAAAATTTGTAAAAAAAAACACATTACTGTAAAATCAAATTGTCACTTCAGCTACACATGAAAATTAAAATATAAATACAATATATATATATATATATATATTATTTTGGTAAAATGTTTCCAATTTTTAAACCAAAATTTTACTTGACATACAAACAAGTTTCGTGGAGAATTTAATAAATGAGCGAGTAATTTTTTCACGAAGGAAAATTATTAAACAAGGGCAAAGTTAAAATATAATTCGTTAGGAACATAATTTTTTTTTTAGAAAAATTGGAAACTATAGTTTTTATAATGATTGTTTACCATTCTCACCCCAGAGCGCAAACTGTGTAAATATTTATTTTTTCATACTCGTCGAAAATAGATAATTTAATTATTTAAAATCTGTGAAATCATAACGCGTCAATTAGTATTTGCAGTGTGGCTGGTGCTAAACTTTGATTTTTGTACTACAAAAAATAAATGTGCGTCGTTATTAAATCAATACAATCGTATTGATAAAAAATAAAACAGGTACACGACTCCCAATAATGGACACTCACACTAATTATCATTTACTAGTCGCGCAACGACACTGCCGAACATGGAAAACCCAGACGCCTTAATCGGAATACAACACGTTAAAGGCGAACAGAATATCGCCGCCGTGTCTCTCCCGCTGAACTACCGAGTCTCGTCGCATCTCAGGACGCAGATAATGAACGTTTTATTGACAAAAGTTCAGCTCTACATTTGGAGAAAATACCAATCGCTGGATGTCCAGTTTCTATTCATAGCGACACGTCAACGGGACGTCCACGACCTTTTTCGCCACAACAGTTCCGGCGTCGCGCGTTTCACCAGTTACACGTCGTTAGTCGCCCCGGTTCACGTGAAACGGCTCGCTCAGTTTCGGAACGATTTGTGCGGTCCACAAATGCAAAAGGACTGCCGTTCTTGGGCGCGTGTTTGCCTTCACTGGCAACGATACAAAATAAGCCGACACGTCTCTACCACACTCGGGAACTTCGTAACACCTTCGCGTCGATATCATCGGTCCATTGCCGCTATCTCAGTCCTTCGGGTGGTACAGCTCGACGGCGGTAATCGATCGTTTTACGCGTTAGTCGGAGCTGTACTCGCTCGAAAGTATTACGGCAGAAGACGTCACTGTGGGATTCCTCAAATGCTGGACCTCGATAAGTTTCATTTTCAGCCACATTAAAAACTTTAGCAAAACATTTGGTTTCACGCTCCGCCCCGTTATTAGCTGACACCTTACTGCAAACGGACCCCAGCTTATCCGCAGGGGGGTTGTGTGGCGGTCGAAAATTCTAGAATGTCCGACCGCCCCAACTAGAAGATAAGGCTGGAGCGGTTTTGCCCTAGTCAGAGTTGGTTAATTAATTGTCACAATTTTGTTAAAATTTCATACGTTATATTATAATGTACGAATAATTAAATCATAATATTACATTTATAATGATCTTATGATAGTTATTTGTAATTGTTTTTTGACTTTAAATGATTTTCACTTAATATTTATCGCATTGAATACAAAAAAATCATAAGAATGGTACCATTAATAATAGTTAGCAAGTGTCCTCTAATTTGATTTAATATTTCAAATGAATTTGAAATATATGTAATCGTATAATTAATGAAACTACGTCGTTTATTTGTACATAGAATAAAAGATGCCGGACACATTTTTTTTTCTATCTTTTAGTATGTAGTTTTTATTAGTTTAAAGAGCCCAGTATTTTTTGAATATTTTCAAAAGTTAATTTGAAAAAATTTACTTTGTTCATTATTGGTTCTACTTCAAACCACATTTTACTATTTTTATTTAAGGAAAGCTATTTTTCAAAAAAAAAGACATTTTTTAGAAAATAATTTTAATTTAAAGTACCATTGCTTTTACGCTCCTCATATATACTAACCCGGTTAAGGATTATATTAGCTTCGATGCGAAGCTGAGAAGGTATTAATTTTACTATGATGTGTTTTTTTTTTTATGTTTGTTGCCACTTTTTCTCAGCTCTCACTGGACCGATTTCTTTCAATAATACGTCAAAAAATCACAAATCGTATTTAGTTGAAGACATTACCCTTAAAAATTGAAAAAGTTTTCCTCGTTCCCCGTAAATGGGGGAAACCTCCAAAAAAATTACAAATTTAAAAATCGCTAATTTTCGAAATTTTTTCACTTTTTTTTCTTAAAACTTCCATAACTTTTTCAAAAATAAACAAATCAACATAATTTTTTTTTATACTAAAACCTTAGATATTTTCCTTTTATTTGAAATCATTTTTTTGAAAATCTAACACTTAACCTGCTCATTGGGGAAGATTTAAAATAGCAACTTTTTTACAAAACTAACTTTTTCAACTTAATTTTTGAAAATGTTTCGGAAATACTGCGTCCTTTAAACATATATCAAATTAAAGCTTATTTTATGTACTATAAAATGAAAAAAAAACAATTTTTCCCGACACTTTATCTTCTGCATGTAAACGGCTGCCGTAGTTAAAAAAACGCTAATTTTGTGTTAAAATTTTCGATTTTAAATTTTCAACTTAAAAGTGCTATAACTTTTCGAAAAATGTAATTATCAGCACAAATTTTTTTTTTCTAAATACATTATAAGTACATCTTTCATTTGACATACTTTTTATCAAAATTGGATAATTTCCTTATATATAGGGGGCGTTCAAAATTTGAAACATTGTATAAAAAATAGAACCTTTTCAACTTAACTTTTGAAAATGTTCCGGAAATACTGCGTCTTTTAAACATATATCAAATTAAAGGTTATGTCTTATTCTATAAAATGAAAAAAAAAAATTTGGGTGATAAGGTGTCCCGACACCTTATCTTCTATGTGCAAATTGCTGTTAAATTTAAAAAAAAATGTAATATTTGCAATAAAAATCACCTTCTATAAGGATGTTTTGTACTTAAAACTGCCATAACTTTTTCAAATATTAACAAATCAAAATAATATTTTTTTATATTGAAACCTTAGGTAATTTCCTTTCGTTTGATATCTATTTTTTTTTGAAAATCTAACACTTATTCTGCTCACAAGGGGGATTTAAAATAGCAACTTTTTTATATAATTTAATTGACATAGAATAAAGTTCATAAGACATAAGAAATTAAACTTATTAAATTTTTTTTACTTTTTTAAAGTCGAAAAAGTAATTTTTAAATTTGAGTTATCTTAAATAGCCAATTTTTTAGCTTCGATGCGAATTTTTTATATGTAAATACTAATTTTTGATAATATTAAAACTTAGAAGTGATAGAAAAAGTCTAATTGCAGATTTGAAAACATCGCGAAAAGTTGATTTAAAATGGTATATTTTTGTTACTGATGAAAGTTCCTTGTAGTTCAGTGCATTTATTTAGAGTAACAAACAGTTTTTATTGAAATTTATTGTATCAAGCCCTTTAAATTTTTATACACGTAAAAATAAAGCAAAATACATCTTCTTTAATATTTATATAATTTCTTCGTTTAAATTACAATATTAAATTATTGAATATCAATTTCATACTAAATTTAATAATTATAATTAGTATTTATTCATATATTATGTTTTAAAATCAAAGAACTACTAATTAGGATATAATCAAAGAAATAAGAGTTGATGTTGCTTTTGGAATAATCCACCAATTTTTCTAAATTAAACACTATCTACTGATTTGCATCGAAGCGTTTCTTATGATAGTGATTTTAATCACTGTCAAATATCATCTATACTTGTCCCATCTATGCCTTGTTTACACTGTGCCTCGACCCCACTGTGCTACCTTTCTTTTTTTTTTTAATTCTTTTTGAGTGAAAAATGTTTAACTCATTTGATTTTTATCTCATTTAGATTCAATAATTTCAATAAATATCAAGGATTCCATTATTGTAGTCTCCTCTCGTGAGAAGAAATTCATATTAATATTATTTTACTATGTGGTTTTTTTTTTTGTAGCTATCATTTATTTTCTCAGCTCTTATTTGACCTACTTTTTTGATAAATTTTTTTTTTTAAATTAAACACTATCTACAGATTTGCATCGAAGCGTTTTTTATGATAGTGATTTTAATCACTGTCAGATATCATCTATACTGGACCCTACTATGCCACGACCCCACTGTGCCACCACCCCACTGTGCTGGGTTTTTAAAATTAAACACTATCTACAGATTTGCATCGAAGCGTTTTTTATGATAGTGATTTTAATAACTGTCAGATTAAATCTATATTGGACCCAACTATGCAACGTCCCCACTGTGCTGGTTTTTTTTTTTAAATGATTACATCAAACTTTTAACGAATTTTTCAGGTTAATAATCGTAGATCAAATGTATTATAAAATCGCCTTTAAAATTTTAACCAAACTAAAATTTGACCATTTAAAGTTAAACATCCAAAATTAGCCGATTTATACATTTTTTTCAGTTTTTAAACTATTTTAAAATCAAATAACAAGTTCAATTAAGGTTTCAAAGGAGTTCTCATAAATATTTTTGGATTCTATAATCATTTTTTTCAACATGTATTAAAAAAAAATAATTTACTAGATAGTAAGATAATAATAAGATATTAGAAAAAAGGCCAACCACCGAAATTTTTAGGGTTTTTAATCCTGTTTTATGATTTTTATTATAGAAAAAGTCATGGAAATTTATAATTAAAAAAGTAAAAATAATAACTAAATTTCTTGATTTTTAAAATTGTAATTTACTGTTCCTCATTTACGGATAACGAGGGACCTTTTTTTTTACAAATTTCGATAATATATAACTATTATTGTTGATGAGATGTTATAATTATTAACAACTGTGGATTAATATCGATAGTGAATATCGATATTAATGGAGAGTTGTTCTGTTCTATTACTAACCGCTTATCTGTTAACATTGTTGATAATTTCACAGGATACTTTCAAATTCAATTTTTAATCATGTTTTTTTCTTTGGAGAAAGTATTGTATTTGAATAAAGAATTTAGGCTGTGACACACTACTCTTTATTTGGTGTCAATTTTCATTTAGTTTTTACTGATATAAGAATTACTCGCACAATAATTGTCGATAATATGACACATTACCACAATTAATCTTCAAAAATTAATTTATGAATAATTAAATAGTATAGTAATTTCTCAGACCATTAGTTACAACCAAGGTAGTTATTTATTCATATAAAGTCATTAATAATTAATAATATTATAACATAATAAGTTATTTATCAATATTTAATATTGATAATCGACTTATGAATAACAACATATTTTATTTAAATATTATTAAAATTTAAAAATACATTCAAAATTTAAATTTATAATAAATTATACTATTTAAAAAAAAAAAAATGCCATTTAATCTATAATAGATATGCATTAAAATTAAAATCATAACAAAAATTTAGTTACTATAATTGAATTGTGGACAAAATAAATATTATTGTTGTTGAGTCAGTAAATGTTTTTGTTTAAAAATATTTGGATTATTACGAAATTTATAAATTAACCTATCAATATACAGTAGAAACTTAAATCACCATTGGAATGGGGCTACAATAAAGTATAGAAATTATGCCATTATTAAATATTTGATATTAATCTTAATATCAAATAGTATATTGTATTTATTACAATAATTTTTAGAGCTTAGCATATAACAATAGTTAATATCATTTTTCAAAACCATATCATTATTGTAGACTAAAAATACATTTTATTGATTGTTTTTGATTTAATGAAATAAAAAAACAAATAGATTAATTTGCATATTTGTTAAATTAATCAATCCTTGTTCATTTGGAAGTGTTTTATCAAAAATTAACTTTAATAGTATTCAAGGGATATTAAACCTTTTGTATAGTAGAGCCATTTAGTTATTGTTAATATTAAATATTTTAATTTGTTTTGAATCTCAATTGTATAATGTTTAAAAATTATTTTTTAGTTACAATGACTAAAAAAAAAATAGCTGAAAATAATTCCCAACAAGAAAAAAATGTCCAGTTAACTCCAGATCTATGTTGGTTAAAAAATGATCTATCTCAATCAATGGTATTGACCACACCAGTAAATAGCTTTGCAAATTATAAAGATATTCCATTATATCCTACATTTGAAGATATAAAATGTGTCCCTTGCAATCTTCTTGCTAACAATATAAGGAGTCCATATAAAAATTGCTATGAATACCTTGACATATTTTTTCGTCTTGCGCGTGAAGATTTTGTTTCATCAATAAGAGATACTATACATTTATTAAAGAAACCTATAAAAAGTGCGCAAGAACAAATTGAAATGAAAAGACTGTGGCTTTATGAAAATGTTAAAATTGTCAAGACTTGTGCTTCTTCATTAAAAACTTTGTTTTTTTGTTTTGACACACTTGATAATGCTAAAAAGTTTGATTATGAGAATAGCAAACGTTTTAAAAATGGAGCATTGTTAATTATCTCTAATGACAAATTTGAAACATTTACCTTAGGAATTGTAACTGATACCATTAGATTGAATATGGGTAATGTTGGTGTGGATATTTTTGATTTGAAAAAAGTTAGTAAATGGCTTTGCATAGATATTTTAGAACCCCCAGCTTTTTATGAACCATACAGATATGTTTTAGCAGTGTTACAAGACCTAAATGAGAGAAATTTTCCAATGAAAAATTACATAATTTATGGTAAAAAATACATTTCACCTCCACAGTTTTTAAGTGGTGGATCAACTTACAAAATATATGGAGTTGAATTTGATATTCTTAAAGATGATCAATGGCCTTCTGCTGATTCATTACAGATGGATATAAATCAATATGAAGCATTGAAAGGTGCATTAACTAAAGAGTTTTCAATGATTCAAGGACCTCCAGGAACTGGTAAAACATATATAGGCTTAGAAATTGTAAAAATCATTATTGAAAATTTGTATTTAACTAAAAGATTGGCAAGCCCTATTATGGTTGTTTGTATGACAAATCATGCACTTGATCAGTTTCTAGAGGGTATTTGGAGATCAACCAAAAATATTGCTAGGTTTGGTTATGGTACCAAAAGTGATATATTAGTTGATTATGTTCCTCGTATGAGTATAGCTCGTCAAGATTCTTGTGCAGATATTTATGTTGACGCTAAGCGAAGTGTTGCATCTACGTTAAAAGAGGAAAATAAATATCAAAGTCATATAAAACAAATTAGTAAAAATATTGGCATTCTTAGTTTACGTTCATTGATGGAAGTTCTTATAACAAGAGGTTTTGATACATGGTTTAAAGACTCTTATGAACTGTTATCTTGGTTATTTTATGATGTTACAGATGAAAATGGTGTAAATGTTGTTGAGTTCATGAAATTAAAACAATTTTTTTCATCTTGGGGAAATAAATCTAAAAAACAAAATAAATTAGAAGATGACGTGTACTGTATTACACTAACTAATTTAAAGCAATATTATTGTCAAACACAACGTTTCTTGGATGATTTAGAAGACAATTCCAATAAAAATGATGAGGATATTGTTAAAAAAAAAGAAGTGTTAAAGCATTCATTGAGAACTATGAAGTTAATTGAGAATCATTTAATAAAGAATTTAAAATTATTTCAATCGACTTCTACTATTGAGTTTAATGAAGGTGTTAAACGAGATTCAATAGTAATCCGTGAACGATGGTTATTGTATTTTGATTGGGTGCGGTTAAATTTGGTAATTAAAAAAAATCAAAAACAAAATATTGTAGATGATGTTCGACAAGGGAGACGAGAAGTAAATAAATATAAATCTATCGGTTATTTAAAACCAGTTAAAGATAAATATGTTATTGGTATGACAACAACTGCTGCTGCTCGAAATAGATATTTGTTGCAAAATCTTGAATGTCCAATTGGTAATATATTTAAATACTTCAAGCAATTTTTTTTTATGATATGATAATATCATATATCTATAAATGAATATTATTTGTTCAATTTAGTTATCATTGAAGAAGCAGCAGAAGTACTTGAGCCACATATAGTAGCTTCGTTGTCTGAACATTGTAAACAAGTTATACTTATTGGTAAGAAAATCTAAAATAGTAAAATGTTTTATGCAATTTTTTTTCTTTATAACTATATATATATATATATTAGTATATGTATGAAATATATTAATACACCTTATGCAGGTGATCATAAACAGTTAAGGCCTCAAACTGCTAATCATTTAATGGCCAAAAAGTATCAATTAGATGTATCCCTTTTTGAGCGTATGGTTAATAACAATATCCCATCATATGTACTCGCTGAGCAACATCGTATGAGACCAGAAATTTCAGGTTTAGTGACTCCAGTTATTTATCCAAATTTAAGAAATCATTCATCTGTTTTAAATAGACCTCATATTAGAGGTATAGCATCTGATGTATTTTGTATAACTCATAAAGCTAATGAAGAAAAAGTAAATTTAATTATTTAAATAATTTATCTATATAATAAAGTTTTAATTTTTGTATATATGTATTATTTTTAGGATATAGAAATATCAAGTTTTAAAAATAGTCTAGAAGCTAATTTTTTAATAGCATTAGCAGATTATCTATTAAAACAAGGGTATTATCCAGAAGACATAACTATAATGGCTATGTACAATGCCCAAGTTATTTATATTACTAAGGTAATACTTGACAAAAAAAAAAATCAAAATTATAAGTTAAAATTATTTGAAATATTAAACCTATGGCTGTATTCAAGGTGACACGGTACCGTGTTTCCCTCAACCGTACATCACGTTATCAACCTAAATGAAAGTGTATCGGGATATGAATCATAAGTGCACGGTGGCCTAGTGGTAAGGTTTGTCTAAAAGACGCCTTGGGTCGCGGGTTCTAATCCCATACCGTGCCTCTTTTTTTTACATGATTTTGGTACACTTTCTATAACCGGCTGTCAATCCCCGGCGGCCGTGTTAAAGGGAGTACCAAAGTTCAAGCTTCTCAAAATTAAAAATAATACATATAAATATATGTAAACCCATCATACTTTGGACCTGTCCAAATATATTCTGAATACAACCATAATTCAATCTTATTTATTATATATTTTATACATAATAGATATAATAGATAAATTATATCTATTACACAATCGTTACATTTACTATTATTCATATTTTTTTATGGGGTTTTAGCTGATAAATAAACCACCTTATAAACACTTAAAGGATATTAGAATTTCATCAGTAGATGGATATCAAGGTGAAGAAAATGAAATTGTTTTATTATCATTAGTACGTAGTAATAATTATAATAGTGTTGGATTCCTAAAAACTAATAATAGGGTATGCGTAGCACTTTCAAGAGCTAGAATAGGCTTTTATATAGTAGGAAATTTGGATTTACTTTCTAAAGCTAGTAAACTATGAAAAGCATCAAGAATTATTTATCTAAAATAAAATCAATTGGTAAATGTATATATTTTATTTGATAAATAAATAAAAACAATTACATATTTTAATTTTTTACAGGTCCAAAATTACTGTTAAAATGTCATAATCACAATATCACATTAGGAGGCGTATCTGAAGCAAGCCAGTTTAAAAATGTTTTTGTTAATTGTAAGTTACTATGTAATGCTAAACTTTTATGTGGTCATCAGTGTGTTAAAAAGTGTCACTTAGAAGATAGAGAGCATATGAAATTGGATTGTCGAAAACCTTGTTCTAGGTGAAAAAATAAATTTACGAATAACTCATTTTGTTTGTTATTCACATATAAGTATAAAACCATTAAATAAATTTCTTTTATGTAGACAGTGTTCAAAAAATCATAAATGTCAGAAACTATGTTATGAAGAATGTAATAAATGTGAAGTTTTAATCAGAGAAATTAGTTTGTGTGGTCATATTATTGAAGGAAAATGTTATGATTTCAAGAATATTCTTTGTCAAACTAAAGTATTTTATTATTAGTTAAAGTTAAATTTTTTAATCAGTTCAATAATTATTTATTAACTTATTTAGTTAAAATATTGCTTATTGGTAAGAATAATATAGAATGTGCAGTCAAACCAGATTATTAGAAAAAATAAAACTAGAAAAAGCAAATTTTTAAAATTTTTGCTTAAAGAATACAAAGTTAACAAGTAGTTGAATATATGTTAAGATATCCATGACATGTGTTTTCAAGGGTATGTTGATGATTTCTAGGTGAATACACTCCTTTAAGTCAACAACAGTCCTTGGTGGGTTGTTTTTAAACACCTTAATTTTCAAATAACTTCAACAGATTATGTTGTATGTAGTCATGCAATATGACTTATTGATTATTGTTACAGTAAATTCCAAACACTGTGATATGTTAATCATTTTTTTTTTGCTTTCACTTGAAGATCACAATGCCGATGAAAATGCACTTATTCAAAAAAATCATGCAAAATCTCATACTGCACAATTTAAAATTAATCTGTTGAGATTATTTAAAACTAAAGTTTGAAAACAATTTAGCACTACTCTTTTTTGTATTTCTTTTGTTAAATTAACTTTTATGGAGTTATTATGTTATTCTTGCTAATTGTGTAGTTAAAGCCTTTCTATATGCTTATATATTATTATACTTCTGTTAAATTTTTAAATGTAAAAATGATATAAAATACGTAATCAACTTATAACCAAAATTCAAAACCAAATGTTCATATTAACATAAGTTAAAGAGTAATTTATAATAATTAATAATTAACAATTAATTATACTTTTATACATAAATAACTAATTAATTAAGTAAAATTTATAAAATATATAAAACTTAGTCAAATTGAGCAATTATAAAAAGCATGGATCATATATATTTCAAATAATTTTGGATTTCTTAAATTAACTTTGAAATTTGAGAAACTGCGAACTGAGAATTGAACCCAGATCTTATGCTATCTGGACGAAATGAATTAGCATTTAAATTAAACTAAATTAAATTAAAGCATTAAATGAAACTTTTATTTTTAAATATAAGTTTAAATAATTTACATTTTTAATCCTCAATCAAAACTCAATGTAAAAAATGTGATTTTAAGATTTTGTTTTTTTATCTTCATTAATATGCAGTAAAAGTATGTAGTTAAAAAAATCAAGTCTAATAAATTTAATTTTTGAAATAGGCTAGACATAGAGAGTGTGTTTTTGTCAGATTTAGTATATTAATATACTAAATCTTATATTTTATTGCTAAATCATTGTGAATTTTTTTTACAATTAAATATTTAAAATTAAAGTGAAAAATAAATTATTAAATATATTTATTATTATTAAGTAATAATTCAATGAAATATTAATTTTCAGATTAAAGTAACATTAAACTGTGGTCATGAAATTGAGAAGTTATGCTTTGAGCCTTCAGTATGTGATAAAATTTGTAATAAACCAACTCCAGGATGTTTATTTAGGCATTTATGTTTAAAAAAATGTGGTCAAATGTGTAGTCCATGTACTGTTTCAATTCCCATAATTTTGATTTGTGGTCACATTTCAGAATTTAAATGCTCACAAGACAATAATTCAGTTGTGTGTAAAATGAATATCAATAAAAAATTACCATGTGGACATGAAATAGTATATTTTTGTGGTGAAAATATATCTGATATAAATTGTCCTCACGATAGTCACAAAAACGAAGACACTATTGAGGTAATATAATTAAATTTTTAAAAATAAATTTTATATTTATTTTGTTTTGGTTAATTTTTATATTTTGAATTTTCATTTAGTTTAATTGACTGAATTATAATGTTATATAAAAATAATTTATTTTTTGTTTGGTATATTTAGGACATGAATGTGAAAAAATGTGCAGAAAATGTTCTAACAAAAAGCATAAATCTTATTCAAAATAAGTCATTGAGTATGTCTAAAGATATTTGAGGTTCATGATATCATTAAAGAAATTTATATAGATCAACTGAATAAATAAATAGGATTTAGTTGCCAATTGAAGTATTGTTGTACATTTGTATTATTTTCCAAGAAGCGTACTATATATATATATATATATATGATTAAGTTCTTTCTTATTCTTTGGTTTTTATAGGTCATCAGTTTCCACCTGTCTCTACCCTGTGCTTCTGTTTCTACATCTTGTATTTTAATTTCTTCTAATGTTTTTTTTACTTTACAAGTAGTATTTTCCCAAAAGGGTTTTAATTTAATACTGCATTTATTAGACTATTTGACCTTCATATATGGCCAGACCATGCAGTTCTTCTATGTTATAATATTGTTACTATGCCCGGTTCTTTATATAATCGTTGTAATTCTATGTTGCTTCTTATTTCATATTGTGTGATTTTATTTATGTGTATTCTTCTTCCGAAGATTGCTATTTTATCTTCATCTCCTTTGGATGTTGGCCATATTTCACACACATACAAAAGAACTGGTCTAATATCTACCTTGTATAATGTAATTTTCGATTTGATCGATAGTTGATTTGATTTAATGTAAGTATGTTTGTAAACCCATAATAGCATTTATTCGCTGCAGTATTTCTTACTTTAATTTATTTGTGATTATTATTTTTGTTATTTATTGTAACTCCAAGGTATTTAAAACTATGTACTCTTTCAAACTTAAAATTTTTAACTTCTAATTGTTCCCCATGATTTTCTTGTCTTGATGTTACCATATACTTAGACTTTGATTTGTAATCTAATGCCTTTACTATTTGTTATAAGCTTTTTGGTGACCATTTTTACTTCTCGTCTATTAAATCCTAATATGATAATATCATCTGCATACGCTAGTATTTCACTTTACCTTTTGTTTTTTTTCAAATTTAATTCCTCATACTTACTCTTATTTTTCTTGACTACTGTTTCTAGTGTTATATTAATAAGTACTGGGGATAATTCATCTCTATATTGGAGTTCAATCTTAATTTTAAATTCATCTGACATTTGTTATTTGTTCTGGTTGGTATCCTAAAGATTATAAGTACATTCCATAGAACTTCTTTATTAACTAGTCATATGCCTGTTTATAATCAATAAACAACAAAAGTAAGTCCTTGTAAAATTCATAATGTTTCTCAACTAATTGTTTAACAGTGAAAATGTGGTCTATGATGATTTTCTGCTCATAAAACCACATTGGTAGTCTCCATTATTTTGTATAGGGAGTAGTTCTATTTAATATTATGCCTGATAATACTTTATACATGGTATTTAACAATGTATAGCTTTAAGCTATCATGATTATTGATAATCATGATAGCTTAAAGCATCTCCCTTTTTATAGATTGGATATATTATTGCTAATTGCTATTCTTTTAGTATTTCTTCTTTATGCCACACTTTTCTGATTAATTTTCCTATTTCATTTATCAATTCTTCATCACTATACTGTAAAAGTTCTGTAACTAAATCATCTTCACCTGGTGATTTGTTGTTTTCAAATGTCTTTATAGCAGTACTAATTTTTTTGTCTGTTGGGTCCATGTATTCGGGTTCTGCAGTATAGAACTTTATTTGTGGATGAATTTGTCTTATATTTGGATTGAGTAATTCCTTAAATACTTTTCCAAATTGTTTTGCATTTTCTTCTTCATCTGTTACAAGTGTCCTGTTTTCCTCATGGAAATTTCTGTTCTAAGGATATATCCTTTTCTTTGTTATTATTTTTTGGAAAAAAAACCTTGGATTTGTCCTATTTTCTTCGATTTGTTTTATTCTTTTCTTTTATATAGTCGTTTTTCCTTTCTTATTGTGCATTTAGCTTCTTTAAGTTTCTGTGCAAATTTATTATTGTTTTCTATGTTTGGAGTTACAAGCATCAATGATATTGTTTTATCTCTATTGTCGATAGCTCTCTGACACTTATAGTTAAACCAGATATGTTTTATTACTCTTTTATTTTTTTCTAGGCTTTTCAAAGTGGTTGTTTTTATTATATCCTCAAATTTTTTCCAATTAGGTTTCAATATTTTCTGCTTCTATTTCTATGTTTCTGAATTTTTTATAGTGTCTATATCAATTTGTTCTTCTATTTTCGCCATTTTTGTCCATGTTTGTAGTAATTTAATTTGGATTTTTGCTTTAACTAAGAGGTGATTTGATTGAGAAAAAATTTCACGATAACTCCTGACATCTTTTACGATTTTGTGATTGCTAATCTTTGAGTTTGTTATGATATTGTTATTTTGATTTTTAGTACCATTATCATTGCAATATGCGTGGAAGGCCTTTTTTTCCTATTGCTGGTCTGTATATTTCTTCCTTTTTAATTTTAATGTTGAAATCTTCAAGCGATTCTTAGGGGTTGATGCATATATTGTATTCAGATCTTCATAAAAAGCTTCTTTTTCGTCTTGTTGTTTGTCCTCTGCATAGCCATTTATTAGTATTAAATTCATATGTTGATATTCAAGTTGGATATAACATAGTCTGTAGCTATACAGTTTGAATTTTTATATGTATGGTAAATATTTGTTATTAATTATAAATCATACTCCTCTTTCATGTCATTGGCCACCAATATAAAAACTCGTAAATTTCTTTGATTTGAGATTTCCATGTCCTGTCTATTTAACTTCTTTAATTGTCTTTATTGCTATTCTGTATCGTTCTAAATTAGTTTCTACAACTGTTAGTGCTGATAGAACTGATATATATATATATATATATAGTTATTCTAGGTTCCAAAATTAAACTTATCTAAACAATTATTTATATAAGGCTTGGTCTTGTGTTATTCTGGAACTCATATTTTTTGCTGTGTGAGGTGGTTAGCCTCACACCACACCCCCTTTATTGGAGGGCCCAGTAAGTTAAGGTATTTCTCTCTTCTCCTTGCTGCAATCATTTGCCTGGAACCATCCACCATTAAGGGGCTATTACAATACCTTAGTATCAGGTGATAAGGGCATCAATTTTGTTATGCCATAATGCTTAACTTCCTACAAAAAATAATCGTTTTCATTTTCTTTGAAATGTTTTCTTATTAATTTCTTTGTCTCAAAAGCCTGATACTTCAATAATATAGAAAACGGTGTCTTACATGGGTTAAAAGAAACACTCTTAAGAGTCTTAACCTAATTTAAAAAGTTGCAACCATTTTTCTAGTTTTTTTTTTGAAAATAATTGTTTTAATCTAATTTATTTATCTAAAAAGGTTAAATGAGCATATTAACTTATTTTTTTTTAAGAAAAAATTATAATAATCAGTATAATTTCAAGATGGGCTTTTCATAATAGTATTATTTTTAATTAATATAATATTATTATTTAACTTCTAGATACAAAAAGAAGGCAAAGAAACCGTAATATAAGAAACACTGCTGTTAAACAAATACTTCACTGAAGTGCACTATAGAGTCTAATTTTTTTTATGATAATAATTGGTATAAAAATGTTATTGTTAATTTCTATTGTTTTATGTTATTTTTAAAATTTTATGTCAGATTGTATGTGTTAATTCATTGTTTTTATTTTAGTTGTTAATATATTCTAAAATAAATGTTTATTTTTTAATATTTCTATTAAATGAGAATAATTTTATATATTTATCAATGTTCAGTTCAATTCAGTTCAAAAAAAAAAGTCAAGTAAAATGTTCGTACTTCATATGACTGTTTAGCCGTTAAGTACACGATTATCAAACCATATTGAAATCTAAGTTTTTGATTATTATTTAGTTTATAGTGAAATTTAATAAAACCTTCTGGTAGTTTATGAAGGCTTATTAAACAAAATGTATGAAAAAATTCTCTCGATTATACCGTCGATAAGAGGTGTGGAATGTGCGATCTACAATGGAGCATACTATTATCCAATCCATAGTATAGAAAATCAGTACAGTTAGGTCGCAGTACTGATGCATTACAAGGATAAGTAAAAAATTGATTGAAATAGCATTGTATGGCGTGTATACATGCTTCGTTAAACCGTACAAATATTTGATTCGATGTCGTTGGACGGCTTAAAAAAAGATACCCGTAGGCGAAGTACAATTACGAACCACATTAATCGTACTAAGAAGATTGAAGGGATGTGCAGACGGAAAAAATTATAAAACAAAAAGAATATTCGTTTGACTCGGAGGCGTATTCAGTTTTTTCTTGGGAAAATATAAACATATGAATTCCTCTTTACCCCCTCCAACATATATATTTATAATGTAATTATTTTCATCGTGGGTTATTTTCTCTATACTTCCCTTGTTATAAAGTCCTTGGTTAGACTATAAATTGTCTTGCTTTTATGCAACTAACGAAAATGCAAGTAAACAATAATATTTTGCCACAGACGTAATTAAATCACTCAGTTGTTTTCGAAACGACAGAAAGGTATTTCATTAAATATAAATTTGTACTTGTCTTCTAAAATAAATCGAGCAAACTTTAAAAGGTTCTTTTAAGTGTTGCACATTTTTTCGCTCTGTTATTTTGATTTTTTTAGTTTTTTATATTATGTTACCATAGAAATATATATTATGTATTTTTTGATTAAATTAAATGGCCAAAAAGTATATATATATATATATATATTTATATTGATATATCAAAAAGAATCTTATGTGTTTGTTCTTTTTTCACACCATTCAGTAGCAAAATATAAGCAATTTTTGTTACTTTTTTAAAATGTGTTATTGAAAAACATGACTGGATATTTATTTCTCAATATTCTTCTTACCTTTTGAAAAGTAATATAAAAATATTATTTTAATTTAATGTACGAGAAGTATATTGAAAATAGAAAACAAATACCAAATATAGATTAAATGTATTACTCTGCATTTAGTGTTCTGAAACTCTTAAAAATATTTTTTAAATAATGTAAACTAAAAATTGTTTTTTCCTTTTAAATTAAACTAATAGAATCAATACACGCATACAATAAAATATGAATTAACAATTAATATAAAATCAATGAATGAATCTTTAATTCAATTTTCAAATATTATACAACTAGTAATTTAATGGGAATTTTAAATTGTTTAAATTATCTATTCCTAATTTTTTATAATCCTATTCTTTTTTTGAGCAACTAGTAGATTTCAAGGCTTAAAGTGACCATAAAACTCAGCGGCATGACTTCTATACTTCTTTGAGCGTTGTAATTTCAACATAGATAACATTAATGTGTCTACATCGAAACATATTATTAATATTGTAATATTAATGTTCAATTTAATTTAAGAAACTTACAGCATTATTGGGAATTTTATGAAAAATACGAAACTTATTTGGACAGAAAGTTATTTAATTTTGTTCTGAACTGTACAGGTCACCGAGTGAAATGTGTCTACAAATATCTCGGAAACTGTTGCCAATTAGAACGTTAAGTTGACAACAGATATAATTCTTTCTTTTTTTATATTACTATACGTTTTTTTTTGCGTCGTATCACAGTTAATTTTATTTACTGTACATTCTAGATTAACAAAGTTATTTGACAGTCTAATAAAGTTTTTAAGGATATTATTTGACCGCCCAGTAAATGTTAGAAAAGGCTTTAATAGTGTAGGAGATTAAATAGAAGAATAACAGCAGATAATTTTTCAAAACAGTTTTTAAATGCGTACTTTAAGTCAACGACGTTTATATTTTAACGGATTGATAAATGTAACGCATTTTGTTATCAACCTCTTTGCGATATTAGGAGTAACAAGTATAGTATGGAAAACTTCTCTAAGAATATAATTTTATTAAAATTAATTATTTTTGAAAATTCAGTTGCGCGTTCATAAAGAGATATCCACTAAAATGACGAAAATCGTGATTAAAAAAATGTTAAGATACAATTTTCATATAAAAAAGTGTTTAATGTGTATCCGCTGTTCCTATGAGAAAATTTCGAATAAAACAATTTGCATTTCAAATATAACAAATTTATCTTTAAAAAATCGCCAATTAATATTTTTTGTATTGTTGGAATACTATTGTTTATTTAGCATTGCTATTTTAACTATTTTACACATAATAGTGTAACATTGGTTAACCTGAGTGTTTCAAAAAGCGCAATTGCAATTTTACCGTATAATTGTTACTTTACAGCTGCGATAGAAATAATAATTGGTTATTTTTATTCGTAACTCAAATGTCTGTCTCGAGGTAATATTTATTGGTAATTAAGAAAATTCCATGAAGGTTTATCTTTCCTAATTTACGAAAGATCTGAAGACGATTCGAAACATTAATCCTTAAAACAAATTTTGCTGAGAGTACTGTTTATTGTCGGTGGAAAGTTTGCGTTGTATATATTTCTGTTAAATTACAATCAGATATTTTTAATGATGTTTTCGCTGCTTTTAGCTGTCTTAGTTATCTGATTTTGGGAGTCGCCACAAAGTTTTATATTATTTTACCGAACGACACATTTTTTTACTGATTTAATTTGTTTATATTATAGGCAAAACGTCGAGTTTTAAATAAATCTTTTCTAAATTATGTAAATATACTTAAGTATATAACATAATTAATAATATATAACTATAATCATACTAAATCCATTAGAGATGTACCGGATTTTTTAGGATATTGATTTTACCCGGTATTTTTTTTGAAATAATGTATAATAATAAAAAATGATTATAATGTATGAGAATAATTTTAATCATAGTTTATATTCCTGGTCCAGTGCATTGTCATTAGTAATAACTTATAATTATCATATCTATAACCGTTTAAGTTTCAATCATCGAGTATATAAAAAAGGTTACAGTTATTTAATCTCTCGGGAATCATAAAAAAATATTTGTTTATCACCCTACGACTATATTTTCGTTTTAACTCAAATGAAGGGGAACGTTAGAAATGTAATATTTTATTACATTAACACCGCAATAGTTTCGAAAGTTTGTGAGGCGAAATGTTTTTGCTGAAAAGATTACAATGTGAGTGAGCTAATACAATTTTCAAGATGTGTAAAAATCGGCGAGAAGTTTATATAAGAGGTTCATAAAATCACAAGTATTTCAATAATTGGAGGCGTCATAATTATTATTTTAAGAACGGATAGTTGAACTTAGGAATAGTTGACATTTGATCGTATTAGCAAACATGTGTCAGCAAGCGATAGTAAATTATTTTTATTTAATATATGAATATGATATATTATTTTAATTTAATATATAAATTTGTTTAACTTTTATAAAATCATTTATACACATTGAAAGGACATCAAATTCTATTTGAATTTTACGTACACTTTGGACATTGAAAATTGTTTTCAAATAAATATCAAAAAACAAATTATATTCTTCAAGTAGCCTTTGTTAGAATGTTCGGCAAAAGGGCAGGTTATATTAACAATACTTGCTATTTTTGGAATAATTTGGTCCGTTACATATAAATGTATAGTATTTAAAAGTATAATTTCGGTTGTAACACTTATCTTACGTCCGTACAAGCTTTTATGTTTTGTGTTAAAAATCCGAAATTATTAATAAAAAATTTGCAAGATTGAATTTTCGTATCAGGAATATGGTATATCGTAACGAGTTTGCATAGACAAGTAATTTGTCTGTTTAATTATAATCGTACTCAGTAGGCAATGGAGTATAGAAATATAAACTTGTAAATAGAATAAAAATTAAAAAAAGTTAATACGCCTAAAAATAATTATAAAATGTTATTAATTAATAATTATTACACAAGAAAAGTTCAACCTTGGCTCAAGAATTATGAAAAAAATCAGAACAAATGAATTATAATGCATCAGCGAACGATTGACTGGAGAAAAACACTCGTTTTGCTTATGAAACACAATGTAAAATGATCAACTATTGGGTAAAATTAATGGCATTCAATATTTTAGAACAATCAATAAAATTGTTAATTAATCCAACATACATATCAGCAACCTGAGGTCGTCAAGCAAGATCTGGAATATTAAAGTTTACAGCCATAGAATGTACATCTGTTAAATTATTATTAGTTTTGCGAGGTAACATTCTTATAAAAAGCTTTTGTAAGCTTTCAATTTCATCCTTTAAGCCAAATTAATACGGAGACCGAATAATGGATCTGTATTCAACTATAGATCTTATGCGTTGAAAGTACAAAACTTTCAAACATAAAGGATTAGAAAACTCAAAACAATAATGTTTAAAAAAGCCAAAATTGCGTAAAGCTTTATAATAGATGTTAGTAATGTGTTCATTAAATGACAAATCTGAAGAAAGTATTATGTTTGTCTTTAATAAGAGAAGCAAACATTTTTAAAATGTGTCTCACGTTTAATAATGAACTGGTTTAGGGTATATTTTAGTGGCGAACTCGGGATTTTTTTATGGGGGAGTAATACATAAGAAAAAGTTTTACCACTCCGTCTTAATTGTGTCCTTAGCACGCCATCATGAACGCTTTCAACCCTTTCTTCCTCTCCTAAATACGAAATTTTTTCATGATTACAATCGCTCTTTGATCAAATAGTTCCAACTAAATTATTTGCATAAATTATTTCTTAGGGCATTGAAAAAAATAATTTAGCCATCCCAATGTTTTATTTAGTTTATACTTATTTGTTAAGTATTTAATCTCATACTAGTGTTAAATTATTAAGGTACATTTTTCCGGAATCCGCGGTAAGCTCTTCTTTTAAAATCAATATTTTAATCAAACAGACATTTTTCTGAAAATCTTAAAAATTCAAACATTATAAAAATAAAACAAAAGTTTTCCTGATACACCTATGAACATCAAAAGGTCATATTTATTGCATGAAACACGCATTTTTATTTTGTTCACCGGCAAGAACAAAATGAAAAATCTTTATAAATGGTTCATTTTGAATATGCAACAATGGTTTATAGAACATCCAGTTTATTGTACGGTGTATTATGCATAATATAGAAAATACACCGCAATTATATAATATACATTGTATATTCCTCCTGCAAGGCGGTTGCTGTTTGCGGGGAATATTTAGCAAACACACTGGATATCATTAAATGACAAGTTAGGACGGTAGACAGATTGATAGTTACAAAAGTAGTAGTTCAACTTGAGTGTTAGATAAGTCAGAGCGAAGTGACTCATTATACAGTGTGTTAAAAGAGTAAGGAATCAGGTTTGCATCGCTCTCAATGTTTGTAACAATTGACCTATTTCCTTACCTTTTGAACACTCTGTATATCGAATGAATTATCTATTGTTGTATTTTGTGTGTGTCAGAAGGGTAGAGGAGCGAAAGTCGGTTACGATAACAAGTTTTGCGCTGTGGCGATGATGGTGTTCCTTTGGTATTCAGACTGTGGCTCGGGCGTTAGACGTGACGGGTCATCCACTCGGTACAGTGGCAAAAATATATAGAGCAGTGAGTATGTCGAAATTGGATAAAGAATGCTCCGCGACTTTAACACCATATGAAAAAAAAATGCACGACCCGTGTATAAAATACATTGAGATAGTATGAAATATAGTCCACAGTGTTTGAATGTGTGTTGTTTACTAGAGTTTACGGTCACCATGACTACGACGCAGACTTTTGTACCGTCACTACTATTCTGTATGTGTAAAAAAAAGGTCCTATTCATTTAATTTCATAGCTGCGTGTATGTGCATATTGAAGCCCAAATTTTAGAAAATTATAAGGTACTCAACATGCGTTTACGGATCACGCACATGTTAGTAATCCACCAGAATGACTAATTCTCGAAGGCCTCTTAAATGTCTCTTTGTGCTACATTGGAATTAACACAGAGATCCTGTTGTCCCAAGGGATACCAGAATAATAATAACAGGCATCAGTTTGGCAAAGATGTAATTAGATTTTAATTGAAACACAGAGAATTTCGAACTAGTCAACATGAAATACCTTTGCTCGTTTTTAAGAAGAAACGTTTCATATGAAATGTAACAGATATCAGACTTTAATAAATTTTATTAAAAGAAAAATAAACTCAGCAGAGCGCGGTGGATATGTGTAGATAATATCTATGGGTCAATCCATGCCAAATCATCTAGAGGTGGTTGCACTATTGCCTCAATTTTTTATTTTTATTTTTTATAACCTTCCTATTTTATGACTATTTCAATTTAGACAATTTTAAAAACAGCCTGAACGCTAAAAACACACAGTTTTTTCATATTAATTTTATTGAATTTATATTTTAGAATTGACTTTGTTATAAATAAAAAGTATAGATAAAAAAAAAAAAATATACGAAATTCTAAAATTTAATAATTTTCTAAAAATGATAACTTTCTGTGTAAATTGGTGATTTTGAATTCAATCAAAACCATTAAGAAGTTATTATTTTGTAGTGATTTTTAAATGTGATATTGTATAATCGATGTTTCAACTAATCTAATAATAACAAATATTTAAAACAATTTTCTTTGGATTTAGAGGCCTATAAAGTGAAAAAATTTTTATAAAGGCAAAAATTACCAAAGCAATAATTTTTAAATTAAACCTATTCACAATACATTATTTTCTCAGAAAATTTTTTATATAAATAGGATTTGATTATTAAATAGGATAGTATCCAAAAAAACTATCACAATAATCATAGCCAGTAGTACATCCGCGTCCATTATCAAGGTTTGGAAGTGAAGACTAGAATTTATTCAACTTCAATTACCTTCATATAATAAAATCTCGAATCATACTACTCACCTACACCTATTTATTATTAAAAATCCAAAATATTCTATTCTTTATTTGAGTTACTACAGTTGTTATGGACAGACTTAAAAAAAAATACACGGGTCATGATTAAACTAATACTATCTGAGTTTCGCGTCAAAGCTGATAAGAATGTATTTCTTTTTTAATTTTTAAGAAATATTATTATAGTGTTTAAAAATAATGATTGGGTAAACGATTATACTATACCAGATATAAAAATAAAAATTGATACTAAAATTGTAAATTTTAAATAATATGTGGCTGATATAATTGAATTTAATCGAGCAGTTCTTGTTAGGAGAAGTAGAACTCTAAAACACATAGTCGAGTTAAAGAAATCACTGAACTTTTCAACGGAAAAATACTTAATAGTAACAAGATGAAAGAGTCTTCGACCCGTTAGAGTTTCCGCCGAATCGCCCGGAAATCCAATTACAAAAGCAAAACCAAACTGGAACGTTTTATGTTGTCTATTTAATTGACCTAACTTCAGACATTGATGGTGTACGAGGAAGATAATGTTTTACCTACAGTCATCAATAGACATTAGCTGTGAGATGGTCAATTAAATAGGAAATTGGTTATTTCGGTAGAGCATTAATTGTGTATTTGCTTTGTGATCAACGGCACAGTCTACCCGAATGTCGGTAAGTAAACGTTAAAGCTAATCCGAAAAATATCTGTTTTTGCTAATTGATTACAAGATTTGATGAACTAAAGGACGATTTGACAGTTTTCAATGAAAATTTGTTAATGAATAATTCATATTTATTAATTATTTACAGCTGTATCTTATAATTGGTTAATGTGATTGTTCAATTACCCAATTTGTTTGATGGTTAACATTAAAGAAGCATAAATTAAGTTCGAATTTGAAAAATATTTCATTTAATTGATTTAGTTTGTTGACAAATTGAATAATGTAAGTTTTAATCAATGTGATAGATTGTCACCAAAAGTACCTTTATTCATTTTTAGTTATTAATTTAATGAAATATTTTTCTGTTATGATTTTTGTAAAACTCTAGTACATTAATAAGTTAACGCCGTTTGAAAATATTTTTGTTTTTCTTGGGAAGTAGTGAAAAATATAATGCTTTTTAATCATAAATCCTAGAAATCATTGACGCAGAAGTTATATTTCACATTGCGAATAAAAGTCTTGGTGAAGTATAAAAGTATTGTTTACCAAAAAAAGTTTCCTACTAAATTTCAAGATATTTTATTCAGACTATTATTATTGTTTTTGGAAATACCGGAAACAACGTTAAGTACATTCCAGTTATTTGTTCATGTGTGTAAAGTTTTATCTTGTGAATGCGAAAAAAAATTAGTAGTATTACACTGAACTTAAATAATAAATGTAAGAAAATACTGTTCTAAATAAAGCTCGTCTTATTAATTGTTGTGGAGTGCGAAGTGGTTCGACAGTAACTTATAATACACAGCACTGTCACTGCGGTATAGAACCAGGGCCATCTCAAAGGGGGACTTTTATTTTATAATTGAGTTTTGATTGCTGTCCATACATATAATTTTCTCGCCTGAGTACACGTGAAAAGTTAAAATATAAACGTTATTAGTTTTCAAAATAAATTTTTCAGTTTTTTCAAACTGTGTTGTATAATATAAAAAGTAGGGATATCTTAAGAATGTGTACAGTATTTTTGTCACATGAGTTTCTACTCTCTTTAGTAGATACCGTATTGGAGATTGGAAGTAACTCTTTTGCTTTTATTTATGGTTACTTGATCTAATTTGTTAGAGTGTCTATTGAATGTTAAAGAAAAATGTGAGATTTATTGAAAGCTGAAAACTAAGAGGTAGACCTTGTTTGCTTGTAACTTTTTTGTAAAGCATAATGTGAAATACTGAACCTTTAAGATGAGTCATGACTCAAGGATAAAGTTCATGCGTGAGTTATCTACACAGTTAGTTTATGATCATATTTTATGACTGCGTCTCTTCACTTTTTCGGGAAAAACAACACCCAAAACTAAGTTAGAAAAATATTTAATAAATAACAAGTAACAGTAAATGACGCAATTACTATATATATGATAACAAGAATTATTGCCGTCGAAATGAAATACATAAAATCAATAATTCTTAATATTATAGAAATATTTGATTCGATTTTCCTCAGTAAAATCATATAAAATTACTTGTAACGAATTTTTAGCTTCGGTGCGAAGTTGAAGGTATTAATTTTACCATGATGTGTTTATTTTTTTTTTTTTTATGTCTGTTACTACTTTTTCTTAGCTCTCACTGGACCGATTTTTCTCAACGAAACGTCAAAAGATCACAAATCGTATCTAGTTGAATGCATTACCCTCAAATATTGAAGATTTTTCCCTCGTTCCCCGTAAATCATGGAAATCCCCCAAAAATTTACGATTTTTAAAATCGGTAAATTTCGACATTTTTTTCACTTTTTGTTTTTAATTATTGAACAATGAAAATATAAAAATAAATTTTTTTTGATACTGACACTATAAGGAATTCCCTTTTATTTGATATAATATTTTTGAAAATCTGACCCTTTACCTATCTACAAGAGAGGATTCAAAATAGCAACTTTTTCAACTTATGTTTTAAAAATGTTCTGGAATTATTGCGTCCTTAAAACATGTATCAAATTGAAGCTTATATTACGTAATATAAATTAAAAAAAAAATTTGTCCCGTTGACTTATCTTCTACGTGTAAACGGCTGCCGTGGTTAAAAAATTGCTATTTTTGTGTTCAAATTTAATTTTTTTTTGTTTATTTTAAAATACCTTAAAGGTTTTGACATAGTAATGAATCCACTAATAAATATAAAATTTGTGTGAATCTAACTTATTTATATGCTCATATTGTTGTTATATCACATTATATAAAGTTGTTTTAAAAAAACCGCTTCAAATTTCTAATCATCCATGAGAGTTAGATTTTGTACTACTTTGTTTTGAATATTTATTATTATTACTATTATTTAGATATGGATGTTTTAAGTCAAATTTTATATAAGTCACTTTCATATTTAGATAGAGAATCATTATAAACTAGATTGAAATATATTAAAATCTCTAATATCGTAAATTATGATGTAGTTCGGTACATCTTAAATTCAAATTTATACTATTTTTTTTTTAAAACGTAAAAATACGGTACAGAAAGTTAAAGATAATGCGCATAATTTTCTCTCAAGTCCCCTATATAAATTTTTTACAAAATAACGCCCAAAATAAACTAGTTAAAAGACAAATGGAGTCAATGCAACTATCATAATAGCATTGATGTTGATTAAATAATATAATATTTACTGTTATTTGGAAATTAAATTCGATAATAGACACGATTTATTCAAGTTACTCAACGTTATAAATGTTATTTTTTCATCATATTCACCATATAGAGATTTTATTTTAACATTAAATATTATCTAACTGTGTAATTTATAATATGAACCATAATTCAAATTATGTATACTGATGATTACTTAAAACAACTAATATTTTACAACTTCATACATATTTTTTGTGTGTTTGTAGCTAATAATTATTTATAAGTATAATATTTTAAATTATTTAAATATTTATCAAAATTAAAGAAATCATATTTTATGTAAATTTGTAATGATAAATAAATTGTATATTATGAATACAGTTTTTTAGTGTTTTATGTTTGAAAATCTCTTAAACTAATGCAATTATTTAAATATCTTAAAATCATAAAAATAGTAAAATATATGTTGCCATGTGATACCCGCATTAAAAAAACATTGATGTTTATAATCAAACATATAATAGCATGATACTAAATTCGTGAAGAAAGATTATTTTTTTGTCCTTATATTCTATTACTGTTAACTACTATTAACTTTAAAATAGTTATTTTGTTACATTGATTTTGTTGTTTACAATACTAAAAGGATGAAGAGGAATAGTTTTTTTGGTCGTTTGGCAAGATATTTGACTTGTTGTATTTCAAAAAAAAAGAAGTGCAATGATGGTGTTATCTTAACTCAATCTGGTCCAGGTAATTTTTTAATTAATGTAGCCTAAGATGATAGTCAACAAGAATTCTCTCAGTATTCAGCATTTTAATGGGTACAGAGAATTAATACACTCATTTGTGATGGTGTCACGTTACCATTATTGTAAGAATTTATTATAATAAAATACAGACAGCACATCCGCTTCTAGAGTCTGATGAATTAACAATTAACTATTATTGCTAAATTGACAAAAGTCCAAATTATTATAAAAACCCAAAAGACCTGGCCTTATTGGTCAGTCGACTCCAGTGCTTTGTGTTATTCATCAGTCTCAGTACTCGGTTGTCGCTGTCCGGCTTACTGTATAAAGTCAAGTCTTTGTTTTACTTTTTCGTTTGAACCTCGTACTCGGCTACCCTTATTCTTTATTTTCTCCTATACCCAAAGTATTTGTGTCTTGCACTTCGTCTGCACCTCATACCTAGGTGTTACCCTTATTCCCTTCCTATAACAACGGCCTTTCAACACCTACAGCTAACTCGGAGTGTCAGCCGAGTACGGTAACTGCTGTATTACACGCACGTGAATACCCAGTCAGAAGATTCAACATCGGCGTCTTATACATACTCATTTCTCAGATCTCTTTTCTTTTATTTGTGTTACGACACATTTATTTTAATATGTTGTTTTCTGTTAATAAATAAGACGAAATATATGTTAACGTGCTCTTCTTTATATTATTTTTTTAATTTATGTAATATAATACTGTGATCAACATCGTCAAATTCTTTCTTCTTCTTCTTTTATAGGCCATTAAGGCCCATTACTGCTCTACGCAGCCTCCTCCATTTCTCTTGATCATTTACTAATTCTTCCGGGTTTTCAACCCCAAGTATCCTAAAATTCTGGTTGGGCTCGTCTATCCACCTTTTATTCGGTCTGCCCAATGGTCTTTTGCCTTCTAGCTTCGAGTTAAGCGAATTTTTCATTATGCCATTCGATCTCTATACGTGTCCAAGCCAGCTTATTTTTCTTCCTTTAAGTGTTTGTCTCTTCTCCTAATTTCCTTATTGGATCTTATTTAATATTCACCTGTTTAATCATTTTTTTTGTACCAAAAATGCGTCGTAGGAATTTCCTTTCTAGAACTACTAGTTTTCTTTCGTCCTTTTTTGACGTTGGCCACGTTTCGCATGCGTATAGAATTACTAAAACTAACTAAAATCTTGTATAAACTCACTTTTGATTTTTTTGATAATACCTTGGACCTGAAGGTTATTTGTAACGCGAATAACATCTGTTTCCAGCTTTTACTCTCAGGTTTATTTCCTCATGGTAATTATTGAGACTATTTATATTCACTCCCAAATATTTAAAGCTTTCTACTTTTTCGAAAGCATAATTTTCAATATCCAAATTTCAGTTTTGGTGTAATTGATTACCTCTCTCAACTACCATATACTTTTCCCTTCATTTATCATACTCATTTCTCTGGTTATCAACTCCTTCGTGATGGTTTTCATGTCCTCTTCATTTGATCCAAGTATCACTACATCATCAGCGTAGGCTAGTAATGCATGTACTTTCCCGTTAAAACGGACACCATTCGCTGTTTCTTGAATCTTCCTAATAACCTCTTCTAGGGCAATGTTAAATAGCGTCGGTGACAAGGCATCCCCTTGTTTTAAACCTACTGTTGTCTTGAATTCTTCTAAGTAATAGTTTCTGAATTTGATTTTACATCTTGATCCCTCAATGCATGCTTTCACTATTTTGACTAATTTCGCTGGTATACCGAACTTTTCCATGCTTTTCCACAGTGATTTTTTCTTGATACAATCGAATGCCTGCTTAATATCTATAAACAGTAGTTGTAATGGCTTATTGTACTCGAATGTTTTTCTATTAGCTGTCTTAGTGTAAACACATTGTCAACTGTAGATTTTCCTGGTTTAATGCCGCATTGGTATTCACCTACTATTTCTTTCGTATATGGTTTTAGTTTATTTAAGATAAAATTTGTTAATATTTTGTAAGCTGCATTAAGTAGCGATATAACGCTAAAATTATGATAGTCTTCTGGATCCTCTTTTTTAAATATGGGGCATATTACTGCTACCTTCCATTCTTATGGTATCTGTTTCTGTTGCCATATTTTCTTAATTAGTTCTTACATATCATTAACAATTAGTTCCCCTCCCTTTTTTATAAGTTCGAATCCTATCATGTCCTCAAGCGGAGCTATGCTATTTTTTAGCATTTCTATTGATTCTTTAAATTTTTTCTTCCTTGGTATTGTTCTACCGCTGTGAGTACAGAATTATCCTGCCCTTAGTCCTCATTTCTTGTTGGCCCATCATTACTTGGAACACTCTTTTTAATTTTTCAGCTATGGCTTGTTCGTTTGTTATTAGTTCATTATTCTCATTTTTCATTATTGACGCTTTTGGTTTATATGGTTTTATTTCGTTAGCTTTTCTAAAAAATATTTTAGAATCTTTGTAAGATTCCTCCATCGTTTCGATCCGTTGTTTTTCTCACTCCTTTTTTTCTCTTCTTAATACTCTTTTCATTTTTCTTTCTTCCTGGGCTAGTCTTTTTTATTTTCTATACTATTTTCCACGGCCACCAATGATTTTGCTTTATCTCTTTCTTGTATGGCTTTCTTACAGTTTTTATTGAACTATTGTTTGGTCTTTTGGCTGTTTACTATTCCGATTTTTTCAAATTCTTTACCTAGGGTAAAATAGACAATTGCGCATATTTATTTTCATATCAAGAACTATAGATTAATTGTGTCACTTTTCAATGATTTGATCTGCAGCTTTTTGGATACCAAGTTGAGATTTAAGAGTATTTAAGATACATAAGACTTAGTGTTACTATGTTAGGGGTAAAAGTCAAGTTTTAGTAGTATCATTATTTGGATCGTCTATAAAATTATAATAATTATTAATATTATAATAATATAATTGAATTATATTGAATTATATTGATGGCCACCTTAAAATAACCAACAAAAGGCTGAACGCCATTAAAATACGTATTAAAGTATGCGATTCAGGCGTCTCATTCATTTTATGAATTCCTGATATTAAATTTTGATCTTTGAAACGTTTAATAACATGACAAGATAGTGTTCGAGTCACGGTTAATGGTTTTTTAAATTTTTGATTTGTAACATTAGGCTGGTATGCAAATTATTGCAACTTTGGTAGTAAATAGGCCTGATAAATAAATCGTGAGTATGATTGGCTGACGATAACGGCTAGCTTAGTAAATATGATAACTTAATGCCTAAAAGTTGAAAAATAGCATAAAAAAATATTAAAAAGAAGCTAGCCGTGTATAAGGGCTGCTTCTGACAGCTACCATCTGCATAAAGTCACCTATGCTTGGAAAACGCTCATACTGCGGCTGTTAAAAAGCTTCATGTTTTAACAAAAATCTATTAAAGACTTAAATTTTACATAATTTTATAAACGTTTTCTGAAAAAAGTTCTGAGGGGTTTGTAAATTTTTATCATATGTATAACCACTTAAAGAAAAAAACGTATCTAAGAACGCCATCTTGTTAGTGTACCATTAAAAATTCATATTTTATTCTGCAATCCTGTTCAAAACATGATTCAATAATTCAAAGTAAATACAATCTACGTATTACATAAATAAATCCAATTAATTTTATAAAAACTACAGTTGTCCAAATAACTTCAGCGGACGTTTTATATTATTCAATATTATGTATAAGGTAGTATCATCAACAAATGAAAACTGCTAGTGAACGAATACCACTAAGTTTTTAACTAAAGTATTTTCAAATTTAATTGTAATTATTTGTAATTAATTCTTTCAGCGAAGAAAAAATCTAAAGTAAGTCATCACAATTTTCGATAAAATATTAAGTGTTCATTTACTGGAAAATTCAAATTTTCAACATAAAATAAAATAAATTAAAATTTTTGATAATGATAACATGATTTCCGAAATATGTATCCGCATTTTTTCATTAATTTTTTGTGGCTTATTGAGTTATTATATTGTAATGTGAAAATTGAACATTAAAAATTGAAAATCATTGAACAAACATTGAAAATCTAATTTCTAATTACGTATATTGTTTGTCCTTATTTAGTTTTTATACATTGAAATAGGTGAAACGATTAATATACAGTACCAAATATCCAATATATCATGAATGTAAATACCAAAAAATTACTAATTTTATACTTGAGATTTGAGTTGATAATTTATTGAAAAATTAAATTGTTAATAGCTTCAAAATTGCCTCAGTTATTATAACTATTTTAAAAATCAATTCTATGGCAAAAATAAATTGCGTTAATGTTTTTCAATTGAAATACGTTACAATAAGATGAAACGGAATTATTATAATGTTCTTTGAGCTGGGGTAGGGTATTAAAAATAAAATTTATTTTATAAGTAAATTACAGAAAAATCATAATTATTACTAAATTAAATAGGCCTCTACATTATGATTGACTTTTTCATTGGAAATATTTTCGAAAACCAATTAATTGCATACCAATATTTAACCATCAATAGATTTTTGATTTTAAGGATTACAATTTTTATGTTGAAATAATTTTATCTTTTGCGGTTAAATTTTATTCATAATTTGTTTTCATAATAGATAACAAACTATAAAGATACCGTATATTAACCGTAAGTTCAATATATTCGTATATAGCCGATACGGGTGATTGTTTAAATATTCTACACAAATTATTTATTAAATCTTTAGTATGACTATAAACCGGTTGTTCTTCGTTTAAAAATGTAAAAATATTTAATAATTCAACTTTTAGTGCAATAATAAAAATAATAAAATTTTTTTATTTTTTTGTAAGATTTCGATTTTTTCTTTAAGTGAAATTGTTTCGGCAGTAACTGACGTTTACTTTTGTGTTTATAAATTTCAAAAAGAGAGTGTTCAAAAATTAAAATTGTCCCTATTGGAAATTTAATATTCCTACACGCTACAAAAGCTTTAGAGAGAGTAATGGTTTTTTCCCCAGAGATGTAATAACCTGTTCTAGTGCAAGTTCTAAAATATCAGCTGTAAATACTAATAAACCCAATGCTCTTTGTGAAATTCTAATTATTTGAATAAGTAATAGTCGCGATGATAGTAAAAAGTCAATTAGTATTTGAAACGCCCATATTATGGCATAATGGCTGTGAATTCCAAAAGTGGTCTGCCCTTCTGCAGTAATATGTGTGTCACTGTGTCAATGTTATAAGCCTAATCGGCGATACAAAGATGTTATGGGATTCAGTCAACTCAAAAAATTAATTTTAGCTAATTATTGATATGTTAACTGATAAATTAATATTAATAACTTGATAAAATTTGATATTTTATTAATTAGAAGTTATGGCGCATGAAATATGTCAAAATAGTAATAATCAGACGGAATTGGCCACAATACAGAATGAAGATATGCAAAGCGTAGGTGTATTAGTAAATGAAGAACAGAGTGAAGAAGGCTTTGAGCATGTTATGCTTTCTGTGGAGTCGCAAGCAGACACGCACTGTTTATACAACAAAAACATTGATACTGAAGATGATTGCTTAAATTGTACGGCAGAGCATGAAGTAATTGTAGATGAAGGAGGTAGTTTGGAAACTAATAGAAATGGAGAAGGTATTATACGTTATTTCGGAAATAAGAATGAAGTCGGAAGAATTATTTCAAATGATGGGAAATGCTATTATTTCAAGAGGGTAAGCATATTATAATATTACAGTAATGAAGCATTAAAAAAAAATTATTCATTGTAAACTATACAAAAATAGTTTATTTTTGGTTTCCCCCAAAATAATTTCAAAAATCGTGATACATGATTCTGTCATACAGACGATATTCAGGGAAGAAAACGCTATCTTTTCATGATTACTGTGTATACATATGATGATAATGTGTATACATTACAAACTTGGCATTAATACCATGATAAGAAATTAGATAAGGCAATTATTACTTATCACTCTCATTCAAAAGTATATTGAAAAGATAGCGTTTTCTTCTGTCCTTTTCTCAATACGTATGTCAATGTTTAATACCGTAAAATAATACATGAAAATTCAAATTTTCACAAACTTCAAAACGCTACAGAATATTTACTACTGAATATTAATAAGATATTTTTTTACTAAAATTTTTCTTAAATTCTACTCTACAAAATAGCTATCTTAGATTTTTTTTTTACATTTTATTTAAAATTTAAAAATAATTAATATTTTTAATAAAATGTAAAAAAAATAATTATTGAGATATAGCTATAGACCTAACGTATAACTATTATTTAAAAAAAAAATCAACTAAAAATATTAACTGGATCAAAAGTTATTTAAGTTGTCAGTGAGTGGTGGGCCACCCTGTATTGATAAATTTAAATAAAAAGAGAACAATTTTGGATTTGAAAATTATCTTTTTTTTTTTTTAGGAAGATATAGTTGGTCATTATAAATATTATAGAGCTCCGCAAAAAGCGAAGTTTGTTATTGATGCTTTGCGACCAAATTGGGCAAACAATATAGAGATAATTGGACAAATATATGGTCAACGGTAATTATTAAATGTTTTAACAGTAAAAAAAAATTAACTTTTTTTTTTCTACAGGTGCTATTATTGTTTAATGTTCGATCATTATACAGAGGACTGTATGCAGTTAGATATCGATTCTTATAATTTTTACTATCCTTACTTATAACTTACTTAAAACTGCTTGTTTGTAGTATCTATTTGGTTAGTATTTAAATTTAATATGGTCAACAGATTGTACTATTTCAGATAATAATAAAATTTAATATTGCGGCAGATTGCAATGTGTCAAGTAAAGAAAAATCTATTATATTTATACATATTACAGTATATGTAAGTACTTAAACATATTGATAAAAATTGTGTTATACAAAAGAACTTTAATAATTAAATGTATGCGTATTAATTAATTTTATGTGAATAAATTCATGTGTCAAAATAATTTTTCTTATTTATTAATACAATGAGAAAATTTAACTGATCATTTAATATTACAATTATTATGTATGTACTTAGATTATTAATTTTGAAGCTATACTTGTGTAATAATTGTCTATTGTTGTTTCAATAATATTTTTTTGCTATCAAATTTTGTAATTCAAGATCTAATTTTTATTTTTCTACTAGAATAGGTAAAAATTTTTGTTTTTGATTTTGTTTTGACATTGCGCCTGTTAGTAGTGTATCAAGTAAAAATGTTATAATATTTATATTGTATTAATACACTTATTAGTATATATAAGTGATGCATAGCGTGGCAATGTCAGCAATCTTCTTTTTATTTTATAATTTTAAATAATATCTAAACATTTTTCCATTACATAAGTATTCATTTTCTAAGGAAAATAATATATTCATTTATCATAATAGTCATTTTTTTTTATTGTATATTGATATTATTATTAATGGTTTTAAAATTATAAAATGTAAAAAAAATAGAAAATAGTGATTGTTGGCAACGCCTCAAATACTCAAAATAATTGATTTGTGAAATTAAATGCCAACACAGTGGTGACGCGGAATAGTTGGTAAAGTATAGATCTTTATATAGTGATTAAAATCTTATAGTGATTAAAATCATTATCATAAAAAATGCTTCGATGCTAATCTGTAGATAGTGTTTAATTTTTGAAGGAATTGTTAGATTTCAAATGACGAATTTAAGTAAAAATAACAACACGAAAAACTGTGATTTTCACACCAAAATAATATTTTTTATATAACTCCGAGGGCTGTCTACATGTAGAAGGCACAAGTTGTCAGGACATTTTTTTTTATAAAAAACTACCTATTGGTATACAACATAAGCTTTAATTTAACATATATTTGAAGCTAGGAGAATTTCTGGTATATTTTTGAATGTTAAGTTGAAAAGATTAAATTTTCATAAAAAACTATTAATTTTGGAACCAATATCCGTGGGCAGGTTAAGTATCCGATTTTTAAAAAAAATATATACCTAAAAGAAAAAAAATAACTAAGGTATTAATATAAAAAAAAATTGTTTTAATTTATCTATTTTTCAAAAAGTTGTGAATTTTTAAGTAAAATAAGTTTAATAAATGTCAAAATTTACCGACTTAATAATAATTTTTGGAGGGATTCTGAACATTTACAATAAACTAGGAAAAAAAATTCAATTTTTTAGTGCAAATTGCGATCTATTGATTATCGTTAAAAAACAACGGCGGAGTGAATGCTGAAAAAAGTAGTCACAGACACAAAAAAAAAGAATTTTTAATAATAATAAAATCAACATATCATAGTAAAATTAATAACTTTTCAGTTTTGCATCAAAGCTAAAATAATAGTAATAAAAATTTTTTTATTTTTTTTTTTGTTATTCTGTTGAAGTTTCTCTTTCTAAAAGGCATCTATGTAAATGATTTTTCGAATAAATAAATAAATCAAATAAACATTAACATTAAAACCTTCAATTGCTAAAAAAACAAAACAGGAATACTATTATGTTTACATTATTACACTTTTCTAGTGTTTATTAATTATTTTATTTTATTTTAATCATATCTCAGTCGCAACTACAATAAATGTTTGGGGGTGTTAAATTAATTTTACCTCCATCCTAAATATGTTTTTATATAATAATTAATATATAATTTTCTTCAATATTTTAAGTTTCCTAGCCTTCTTATTTTCATTGATGGTCATGTTTTAGGCTGGCACCAAAACCGGTTACAATTGGTTAAAATCATTTTTTCTAACTGAAATCGCAACTAAAACTACATTCAGCCCAAAACCGATTTCTAAAATCGAAATTAAAACTACAAATAAATTAAATGGTTTTAGTAACAATCAATCCAACTGTAGAATTAATTTTACAAAAAAATATATAAAATTGCATTAAACATTTTAAATATCACAGTATTGTTTTTATGTAATTAAATGATAAAATACATTTTCTTATACAATAATCAGGGTAAAGTGCTATAAATAAAATTAAGTTCAGTTTAGTAGCAGAGCCAAGATTAATTTTCGAAGCTGGAATTGATTACTTTTTTTTTTCACGATTTCAAACGTTTACTCGAAAAAAGTGATCAACAAAAAGAAAATAATTATGAATACAAATAAAATTTTCATGGTACTTTAAATATTAAAATAAAGTAATTTTATTTACAAAATCGATTATTTCAAATTTTTATTTTCAATATATGTTACTGGGAGTATTATTGAAAAGAAATTACTGTTTCTTTGAATAAAGCAAGTCTTACTATTTTTCTTAAATATAATCCCTGAATTTTGTTAGAAACTCTGTTGACACTAGATAAAGTTTATTCAACATTAAAATCTAATTTTGTATATATTGTGTTAAACTTTCAATGTTCAACTCTTGACTCTATATTTTATAGATGCTATACGTTGTTTTCAAGAAATGTAAACACGGATATACTTTTATCTAAACTACTTTTTTGTTTATAACTTTTTTTGGTATTTTGATATTGTAATTTATTATATTTACTCTTTTTGCTCTTTATCGGAAGTATATTTAATTTCATCTTGACCTTCTAAAATTGTTTACAGAATATTGCAGTTGAAATGAAATATTTTGCTTTCCTATGTATACCTTTTTATAATTACATAATTTTACGTGAGTTCCGTGCTCGACCCTTGAATATTTTCAGTTTTACCGATTTTTGTTCTGAAATAGTCAATATTTTTATCTGGGAGCTTATTAAATATCTGGGATATTTAATAAGTAATTTTGTACTTAGGGTTTAGGTTTAAAAAAGAATACGTTAATAATGTGTTTATTTGTTATTTAACTTTTATGGAATAACTACGACAGAGGGCATTAATTTATTTATGAGAAGGCTAAGTCTTTTTTTTTTTGAGCAATATATTTATATGCGTAATATTTCGAGACTTTTAAAAGAGATTATGTAAAATTGCATATATGGTTTTATACAAATGTAATAAAAAATGCCATTTTTAAACATGACAATGTATCAATGCCTGAATTTCGGTTGTCAAAAATATATTTTTTTTTGCCAGTAGTCTTTTAAAACTATTCGCAAAAAGGGTTGGGTTCGAGTCCATTGAGCGTGACTTTCAACTGGCTAATTAGTGAAATATTTATATATTTATAGGGCGTTCAGTAAGTAAGGAACCAGGTCAATTGTTACAACCAACGAGAACAATATAAACCCGTTTCCTTACTTACTGAACACTCTATATATATATATATATATATGTTAATCAAAGTTAACACTATTGTATTCATTGATTTATGAATTGTACTATGTATGGCTTTACATATTATGTGTATTTGGAATAACAAAGTCTCTAAAATTATTGATGCGATAATAGATGAAATCCTTCAATATTCGTTACGTAGTGATAGAACTGATGAAATCGACGAAAGGTCCTTTTGGAAATAATTGACATTCGCAAGTTGTTTTTATTGATTATAATCTACAGACATTTAACCACATATCGGTGCATGGTTTCTATTACTATACAGCTTTGGGACAGTGGAGCGTCGAGTGGTTACATATAAAACTGTTGATGTAGGAATACTCGACCCTTTGAGATCCGGTGACCGGAACAAATCCTTTTGTCTGTATACAAGGTATTGCGTGAGATGCAAAGAACACACCACCATCTCCCTTGCCATAACGCTTACGTCAACAACTTGGACCTATTCGAATATTATTTATTATGTTAATCCAATTCCGGAATGGATCGACAGGAGAGCGGCACACGGGGTAATCAAGGATTGCATACTTCCCAGTGTCCTGATCATGCTGATGTACACCGGAGATTGAATACTTTACAAGAGTTTTACCTGTGCATTGAAATGAAGGCCTGCGCGAGTCAAAGGATTAGCCTAATAAAATATTTTCATCGTAAAATGGTTTTCATTATAATTCGAGGTAAACAGTTTAAAGTTTTATTAAAAACATAAATAGGACCAGTGAAATATTAAATAGTTTATGATTTAAATTTAAAAACTCGTACGTTCAAATTCCGATATCTACGTGTTTTTTTATTGAACTCGGTTTTAGTATAGAGATGATAGAATTTTAAACACGTATGAATAAAAACATCACTCGTAATATTTGAAGATCGGTTAATGTTAAAGATAATTTCCCACTTTTCGCAGTTTTTCCAGTTTCTTTTCTGGTGGAAAATATAGGTGTTGAAAGGAGCCCATTATATAAATAAGAAAAAACTTTTCATGCAAAATATATAAAAAAACCATCAGATACCACACATGTAATATTTTCAACAAGATTTCCTTAAAGTCTAAAAAACTCTTTTTTTATTATTAGTTACATTTCAGATGTACTTTTAAAACTTGCTGTAGTGGATTATTTTTTGACAATTATTGTATTCGCTACTGACCTAATTTTACAGAAATTACTTAAGTGAACAAAATTAAAAGGTCTGTACAAAATAAAATTAGGTTGAGAACATCAGTTTTAATATAATTTGTCTTGACCTTTATGTTTTCGTCGTGTTTGGCAAAGAAAAGGACTCTGACATTAACAAAAAAATGAATAATAAGTGAAAACTCAGCCTAGAATTAAACAACCATAAAACTTGGGTGCAAATGACAAAAAAAATAATAATGCGGTTAAAACTTTAACAACCGAGTTACGATAATTTCATACACATTTTTCACCTCGTATTTTAGCCATATATATATATACATTTTTTTAACGAGCTATGACAAAAAACGTTTCATATATCTTTTTAGTCGCTATTACCGTTTTCCTTTTTATTTAAACGATTTTTAAAAACCTGCATAC